CTAGAAGACCTCCAAGATCCCTCCTGCCTCTATTCTCACTAAGCTACGAACGCCTGAACCCGTGCCAGCCTTGGAAGCTCCCACAGGCTTTGGGGCTGTCGAAATACAAGCCCGTGCTTAGGGGAGGGGTGTGAGCTCTGGGATCCCCCTCCCTGCCATGAAGGTATCCCGTGGTCTGTTTGGGGAGTTCTAGTGCCGCCCTGCAGAGGCTCGGTAACCTCTGAAGAATGTCTGCCGAAGCGTTGGCTCCAGACGCGGTGGACGGCTGCCATTTCTAGCTGCTGTGAAACAGGAAATATGGAAACCATTTGCTAATGAGGGACGGTGCCCTGAGAGTCTGTGGTGCCTTACAGTAACAGTACTGCGGGCAGCACTTCCTCTTCCTCTTTCTCTCTCTCTCTCTCTCTCTCTTTTTTTTTTTTTGGATCAGCTGCGCTCTTCTGGGCACCAAAGAGGGTGGGGGGGGGGAGATTCCAGCCCCGTCTGGGTGTTGCAAAGTCAAATATGGATTGTCTTCTTTCTTGATAGGCACTTTGGCCTTGGTGGGAAATGTGTGTGTGTGTGTGTGTGTGTGTGTGTATACATACACACACACACACATATATATAAAATTGGTGCAAATGTGTGTGTGTGTGTGTGTAGATGGATGGACAGATGGACGGACAGACACACACAGATAGATAGATAGATAGATAGATAGATAGATAGATAGATAGATAGATAGATAGGAAGTTTTTCAGACAGACCGCTCTGATTGATTACATCTTGACACTTTTAACTGCTATACTGCAGTTATACTTTTTACAATCTCTTTTGCCTTGCAGCCCCCCAACTAGGGGCGTTAAGCAGGCTCAAGTTGCAACTGCGAAACATTTACAAATCCAAATTTCTTTTTCTGACAAAGAGTTAAAGAATTAAATTGGGAGACTAAGATGGCTATTTCAAGCTCATTCTGCTCTCTTCAGTTAGCATATAACTATTCAATTAGCGCATCTATCTATCTATCTATCTATCTATCTATCTATCTATCTATCTATCTCCAAATTTCTTTTTCTGACAAAGAATTAAAGAATTAAATTGGAAGACTAAGATGGCCATTTCGAGCTCATTCTGCTCTCGTCAGTTAGCCACACCCTTTTATGGGATTCGAACCTGGGCAGTTTTTACATACTAGGCAGTGATTTAACCACCAAGCCACAGGCTCTCCTCCCTCTTTGCCAGTTGTATATGTAATATTATTTTATCTGCACACTCTGGCTTTGGCTTGGAGTCAGGCTGTGGAGGAAGAGCGAAAGTACTGAGGAAGCCCCCCACCCAAGCAGGGCCCACCACTCACTCTCCTCACTCTTGTTGAGGCAACAGGAAGGTTTGTTGCTGGGAGGGGACGGGGAAGACTGCTTGGTACTGAACTGCAAGATTGTGGAGGGGGGGGTCTTCTGGGAAAAGCTGTCCCCAATCCATCATCATCATCATAAAGTTGGAAGGCTCCTTGGAGGTCATCTAGTCCAACCCCCTGCTCAGGCAGGAAACCCTATACCATTTCACACAAAGGGCTGTCCAGTCTCTTCTTAAAAACTTCCAGTGTTGGAGCATTCACCGCTTCTGGAGGCAGGTTGTTCCACTGGTTAATTGTTCTGACTGTCAGGAAGTTTCTCCTTCGTTCTAGGTTGCTTCTTTCCTGGATGAGTTTCCATCCCTTGCTTCTTGTCCTGCCTTCAGGTTTCTTTGGAGAATAGCTTGACTCCCTCTTCTTTGGGGCAGCCCCTGAGATATTGGAAGACTGCTATCATGTCCTTCTCTTCGTTAAACTAGACATACCCAATTCCAGCAACCGTTCCTTGTATGTTTTAGCTTCCAGTCCCCTGATCATCTGTGTTGCTCTTCTCTGCACTCTTTCCAGAGTCTCAACATCTTTTTTACGTTGTAGTGATCAAAACTGGATGCAGTATTCCAAGTTTAGATCTGGTCGAAGTCCAAGTAAATTATATCCACTGTATTCCTCTGGTCCATTAATTTTGTCACTTGGTCAAAGAATGCAATAAGATTTGTGTGGCATGATCTATTTTTGACAAACCCATGTTGGCTTTTAGTAATGACTTTGTTTGCCTCTAGGTGTTCGCTGATTCGTTGTTTGATTATCTTTTCCAGAATCTTCCCAGGTATTGAGGTCACGCTGATAGGTCTGTAGTTTCCTGGATCTATTTTTTCCCCTTTTTTGAAGATGGGAACTACATCAGCTCTTTTCCAGTCCTCCGGTAGTTCCCCAGTGCTCCAGGATCTTTGAAAAATATAGTTCAGTGGTTCTGAGATCACATCTGCCAGTTCCTTGAGAACCCTGTGGTGTGATCCATCTGGTCCTAGTGATTTGAACTCATCTAGGCTGGACAGGTGCTCACTAACCATTTTCTTGCCTATCCTAACTTGTTTTTCTATTCTGTTTTTTATGGCACTATTTTTGATAGGTTGGTCTGTTTTTTCCCTTTGTGTAAAGACAGATGCAAAAAACAAGTTAAATAGTTCTGCTTTCTCCCTGTTGCTTGTCACCTTCTTGTCACTTTCCCCCACTAATGGACCAATCATTTCCTTTACTTTTTTCTTGTTTTTTACATGTTGAAAGAAGCTTTTTTTGTTATTTTTGACTTTGGTTGCAAGCTTTAGTTCATTTTGAGCCCTAGTTTTCCTCACTTCATCTTTGCAGGCTCGGGCTATATGCTGATATTCTGCCTTAGTTATGTGTCCCTCTTTCCACTTTCTATACTTGTCCTTTTTATCTTTCAATTTGTCAGAGAGTTCTTTATGCAGCCATGCTGGTTTCTTTTGAGAGCTGTTATTTTTCCTCTTTGTTGGTATTGTGCTAGACCGGGCTTTTATTATCTCACTTTTCAAAATTTCCCAAGCTTCTTGAGTAGTTTTCCCCTTGAGGATTCTCATTAATGGAATCCTTCCCAAGCCCTCTCTAAGTTTATTGAAATTAGCTCTCTAGTTTGACTATGTTCTATTGCTTGTGCTTCCATAATGTTGAATTCCAATATTGCATGATCACTTCCCCCCAAGGTTCCTGTGGCTTCAACACCTTCTATCATTTCATCTGTTAGTGAGGATTAGATCCAAAATGGCTAATCCCCTAATTCCCTTCTCTACTTTTTGGGAGACAAAGTTGTCTGCTAGATTTGTCAGGAATCTGTTTGATCTTCCACTTGGTGCAGAGTTTGCCCCCCAGTTGATGTCAGGGTAATTAAAGTCCCCCATTACTATTGTGATTTGCTTCGTACATACAGTACCTTAGTTAGCCGACTAGCAAAAAGTTCATCTATTTCCTGTTTGGTGGGTAGCCCATAGTATACACCTATGGCAGTGTCATTTTTTCTTCCTTTTATATTGACCGAAATGCATTCAAGACACTTTTCATCATTGTTGTGCTCTATTTCTGTAGAGATGTAGTTATTTCTTACATATAGAGCAACTCCGCCTCCTCTTTTGTTTGGTCTGTTTCTTTTAAATAATTTAAATCCCTCTAGCTGTGTGTTCCATTTGTGGGTTTCATCTCATCATGTTTCCGTAATGGTCACAATATCATATCTGCCCTCATTAACCTGAATTTCTAGTTCACCCTGTTTACTGTTCATTGGTGTATAGACATTTGAGTCCTTTATGACTGACCCTGTGTTTACTTTCTATGTAAAGTAAAGTGTGGTGCCTGAGTTCCCCTATTTTCTTACCACCTGTTTGGTTAGTGCACTTTGTGGGGCACTCGCTACTAAAAGCTTGATTTTGCTTGACAGCAAGGTTGATATTCTTGTCCACACACACATCTATGTTACATGCACCAATAGCCCTATAATTTTTAGATTGCCTGGGACAGGGATGTTCTGTATCAATTAACTCACTGTCCCCGTTGTTTAGTTTAAATATTCCTCCAGAAAATCTGTGAATTTATTGCCGAGTAACTCAGTCCCTTTCTTGGATGGATGCAAACCGTTTCTTTTGTACATTTTTTCATTGGACCAGCTACAGACATCATGACTAATATAACCAAAGCCTTCCCCTTTACACCACTCCTTTAGCCACACACTCCAGAAGGGGTGAATGCTCCAACACCGGAAGTTTTTAAGAAGAGACTGGACAGCTATTTGTCCGAAATAGTGTAGGGTTTCCTGCCTGAGCAGGGGGTTGGACTCGATGACCTCCAAGGTCCCTTCCAACTTTATTATTATTATGGATCATCGCACAGTCAGCCAGATGTTCAGACTGGTTTGGCATTTTGTCTACCTATCGAGTCCTTACCCAGGACTTGGGATAGGCAGATGTGGATGTTTGATTGTATTATAGGTATCGTCGCAGGATGGAAGCAGTTCCTAGTAAGGCCGCCTTTTGCAATTGACTAATAGCGAATTTGTCAATGCCAATGGTGTTCAAGTGGTGCTCCAGTTGTTTTGGGATTGCGCCCAAGGAGCCTATGACTATTGGTACTACCCTTGCTTGCTTTTGCCAGTGTCTTTCTATTTCTATTTGTAGGACTTTGTATTTTGTTATCTTCTTCAGTTCTTTCTCATCTATTCTGCTGTCTCCAGGCACTGCCACGTCCACTATCCAGACTTTTTTTGTTATTATTATTATTATTATCATCATAATCATCTTCATTATTATTATTACATTAAATATTGAATTCTGCTCTAGGCTGGCCTTTTCCATTTTGCTCCTGATACACTGGTAAAACCTCTGAAAAAGTAAGCCTATAGCCTATCCTGCTAAGTTCCTACCCATATGTACTGGTTGAATCGCCACTTGGCAGAGAGCTTGGCCACCGTGTGTGCCCAAAGGGGGCACGCCATATTGCCAGAATCCTGGCTTCTCGCACTCAAGGCCCCCGTCTCCACCCCAGCATCTGTCTGACGGCTGATTATGAGATCGGTCCTTAAGTTCAATTTTTATGTTTCCTAAATTTGTTGTACATCACTTTCTTTCCTTTTTGCCTTTTCTTCATCCCCCCCCCCCTCCAGAGTGAACAGCAGCTCGACTGTGCCTTGGATTTGATGAGGCGTCTTCCTCCCCAGCAGATCGAGAAAAACCTCAGTGACCTGATTGATTTGGTGAGTAGGCATATGGGGCCCTTTCCATGTTTTGTAGAAGTTGCTGGAGATCCAGTAGATTCAGCAGATGCCCCCGGAGCAGGGGTCTTCAAACTTGGCAACTTTGAAGACTTGTGGACTTCAACTCAAAGCATGCCTGGCTGAGGAATTCTGGGAGTTGAAGTCCACAAGTCTTAAAGTTGCCAAGTTTGAAGACCCTTGCCCCAGACCCTCCCCACCTTTTTAAAACTCGTTCTAATTGAGAGTGGCTTGTCTGGCCCTGCTTGGGTTGGAGAGCGAGGTTGGTTTTGTGTGTGTGTGTGTGTGTGTGTGTGTGTGTCTTGGCTCTGTTTGTTTAGATTTCATACCCCTGGGGGCTCTGTCCTCCAGGAGAATTCAAAATCCCGTGGGGACTCCCATTTGAGTGAGCCAGCTTTGAGGTGGCGGTCCCAAGCCTCACCTGCAACAGCAGGCCAAGCCCACCTTTGTGATTATTTTCTGCTTAACTAAGGGCAAAGAGCAAGAGGTGGAGAATTCATTGCTCTGTGTTCCTTTAGCCCGGCTGGTTTTCCCAACGTCCGTTTTAACCCGTCTGAGTGACGCCACAACCAGGGCCGGCTGTGACCTCTCTGCTCTTCCCAATTTCAGGAAGGCTGCTGAGGTTCTCCAGCAAAAGAAAAGCCCCCCCCTCCCTCCCTCCCACAAAGTCCTTTAGCCGGGACCCTAAAGGTCAAGCTTTATGCCTGCTGGGGTCCTTGGTCTCCGGAGTCCTTGGGGGCAGCTGTGGATGGCCTTGCCAGATGTGATTTGTGCTGACCGAGGAGAAGGCCTAACTTGAACGTGAAATGCAAGGGCAGGTGGGGTCCTTTCTGGGTCAGAACCCCTTCCCCAAACTCCAGGTGGATGGCCATCCTCGCTCATTAGCCCAGCCCTTCCTCTGTGGCTTTCACGGGCTGCTGAGTTTGTAATTAGAGTTCATTAGCGCTCCTGTCAGTCAGGGGTCTCTCCCAAGCCCTGCCTGCCTGCCGGTCTCCCCAACTGGGAGAGGAGCACTAAGGATTGCTGAGCAGGCAGCACGGTGTCATGGGGCAGTGGAGGAATTTAGAAAGTGTGTGCGCTGTGCACTGCGGGACCTTTAGAGAGAGGGCTAAAACTCCAGGCCATTTTGTCCTGGCCGTTCAGATTCACACGCACGCAGAATTTATTGTTATATATGTGTGTGTGTGTTAACAAGACAGCGTTGCAATTTGCCTGTGGTTTGCGTAAATAAGAAGGAAAAAGACAGGAAGCTGAGGACCAGGCTCGGAAGCGTTCAGGACTGTCGTCTGTGTGCAGGCCACCCGTTTTTGTCGCCTGCAGCTGAGGAACCCTTGGCTGCGGATCTTGCCTGAGTCACTGCTCCACCACTTGGTCCCAAGGAACAGTCTTGGAGAGCCTCCCAGATGCATGGTTCTCTAAAAACTCACCCTAACCCTGGTTGCAGGTGTTCCATGCTTCAGCACCTCAACAGGAAGAGATGGCGGCCAGCTGGCAGATTTCAAAACGAAGGCCTTGCTGAATCTGGTCTCCTTTTCTGAGTGACTTTCTGAACGGGGGCAGTTGCTGGGTCTCCCATCCTGCAGCGACCGCGGGGGTCTTCAAATTTGGGGGTCCTTGGCTGAAAGGAGGAATTTTGGCTTTGGCCAAAACTAACTTCATCTCCCTCAACTCAAGCCAGTTTTTCACGTAAAAGGAAGAGCCTCAGACTTCCATCAAGCCATTAATCTTAGGACCTCTTAGTACAAATGCGCCCAGACAGGCTGAGTTAAGCATTGGAACAGAAGCCACCTTTTAAAAATAATAATAATAATGGAGCTTGGACAGCTTTCCTGAGACCGTTCCACTAGATCTTTTTGGATCAGCCTCTAAATCCCTCCCTCACAGCTGGCCAAACGAAGCACATGTTTTTACAGTCGGTTGCAAGCAGCGAGCAGGAAAGAATGCAGCCCGTTCGCCCTTTGCATTTGTGGCAAAAAGGTGACGCCTGGGTTAAACACCGAACTGTTATTGCAGTTACGGGGCCCCGTTTCCCAGATCACCCCTCAATTTGCTGATGGTTCTGTTCAGTCCAAGTGAGGGCTGAGCCTTCGGAAGGGACGCTGGGAGACCGTCACAGAAGATCAGATAGATCTACTCTGCCCCTTAAGTCCACGGAGCATGGAGAAACCCTTTCCCACGGATCCCACGAGAGCATCTGAATTTTCATCCTGCCAGGCGTAATTCTGCCTTTCTCATCTTGGGGTCTTTTCTTCCTAAAGGGGGGTTTCAGAAAGTTCCCTTTCAGTCTTCTTAAAGGCTCTCAGACTTTAACAGGTGGTTTGTTCACTTTTAAGGTGCGACACAACTGAGCTACAGGAGACCCCCCCACACACCTTCGGTCGTCGACCCAAATTCCATTCCCTGGGCTTCAGTGTTCTGACGTTTTCTCCCCAGGATCCATGTTGGGGCGCGGGGACTGCATTGCCCAAAGCCGGACCCTGGAAGCACCCCTCAAATCTCCCCCCCCCCAGAGGCCTGAAAAGGGACACGTTCCCATGGCTGGCTGTCGCCCCCAGACCTGCTTTCACACACACACACACACACACACACACACACACACACACACACACACGTCCCCTCTTGATCCTGCCAGTTCCATGAATATGAACTCATCCGATTGGCCTTTAGAGCAGGAAGCGAAGGCTTGGCCAGCTGCTCCAGAAAGGTGTTGGGTTTCTGACTGTACACAGGTGGCCGCTTGTCTTGCTGGCTGGAAAGAGGGTCCAGTTTTTAATTAAAACTGTCCTTATACCTGGTTCATTAACTTCAGCTAGCCTAGCGTGGCCGGGGGGACAAAGAGACTCTTGTTAGGCATGTCAGGCTCCGGTTTTTTTTCTTCTCTTCTTTTCCGCCAATTTGTCTTCCTTTTTGTCTACGCCTGATCTCCCTTCAGCGCATAGCCATTCTTTTGCAGAGCCGTCCCAAATAGTGGCCTCATTCATCCCCAGGAAGCCGGGACTTTATGGGAAGCTGGTTTTGGGGTGGTCTGAGGGCAGGGTGGGCCTTCCCGACCTGTAGGGTTCATGGGATCCATCCATGAGGCAGGATAACCACCCACAAGATATCTTTGCAATGTGGACCCTCTTGGCCACGCTGGCTGAGGAATTCTGGGAGTTGAAGTCCACCAGTCATAAAAGGGCCAAGTTTGAAGACCCCCGAGCTAGAACATAAAGAGTTGGAAGGGACATCTTGGAGGTCATCTAGCCCAACCCCCTGCTCAAGCAGGAGAGTCTATACCAGGGGTCTTCAAACTTGGCCCTTTTATGGCTTGTGGACTTCAACTCCCAGAATTCCTCAGCCAGGCACACTGGCTGAGGAATTCTGGGAGTTGAAGTCCACAAGCAGCGGTCTTCAAACTTGGCCCTTTTATGACTTGTGGACTTCAACTCCAGAAAGAAAACCCCTGGTCTTGGCCCTTTGATTGCCACTTCAGTCAGCACAATATTAATAGGAATGCCTCAGACCAGCAAAGCGTAAGTGTAATAAGTAGTTCGTCCTCAAGCAGCTTTTTCACCTGTTTCCCAAAAAAAAAAAGCTGGCGGTAAGGAAGACAATCTTTTAAAGAGATCTCCTTGGCTTTAAGGCAGGGCTCTTCAAACTTGGCCAATTTAAAACTTGTGGACTTCCACTCCCAGAATTCCTCAGCCAGCGTGCCTTGCTGAGGAATTCTGGGAGTGGAAGTCCACCAGTCTTAAATTGGCCCAAGTTTGAAGATCCCTACTTTAAGGGGATAACATGGAGACACCATGAAGCTTTCCTTGGTTTTAGGTCATGCTCATGTGGGAATGTGGCTTTTGACCACATCTCTTAGTTGTTCAAACATACCAGCCTTGTCTACTCAAACTGTTGACTTCTCTGTGAAGTTGTAGACAGAGGGAACCTTTACCCATCATCGTTTTTTTATTATTATTATTATTCTTAAAGAAAGGCCCAAGTATTAGATTTAGGATTTTTTTTTTCATCTGAAATTAGTGTTTAGTTCAGGGGTCTTCAAACTTGGCCCTTTTATGACTTGTGGATTTCAACTCCCATTCTTCAGCCAACCTGCACGCGTGCCTGGCTGAGGAATTCTGGGAGTTGAAGTCCACCAGTCATAAAAGGGCCAAGTTTGAAGACCCCTGGTTTAATTAATGCACCTCTTTGCAAGTATGTGTGAGTGTATGTGAAAGAGGGATTAGCTGAATAATAGGCTAAATTTTAGAGTTAGTAGCTCAAGGCTTACCTATAAATGACTTGCCTTTCACTCTTTCAGCTGTGCGTATGTATTTTCAGCAATATCACCTCTTTGTTAAAAAAAAAAAAGAACAGGTAATCCTCCCCCCCCCCCCTTTAACTAGCAATGGTTGGCAGATTGCCCAGAGAGCTCATTAAACTGCACCCTGAGCATGAGCTAGTGGAAAAAATTAAGCTGCCATTCACGGTCAGCTTATTCTCTTAGCAGTTCTTAGGTTTCCATTATAAATATTTACCATTTTTTAAAGGTTCTTGCCCCCTCCCCTTCCAGGAATAGCTTTACAGCAAGTTTGGCAAGGAGCAGACGCTGTAAGACACATCTGCAAACATGCCTACAGTTGAGCTGTGCAAGACCACAGGAGTGGCCCCCTTTATTGGGACGGAGTTGCGTTTGCCCCTTGTCTGTACACGTCCCAAAGGCAACTGGATGTTCTTGGTGGTTGTTTTTTTTTCTTTCTTGAAAACGTTTCACTTCCCATCCCAAGAAGCTTCTCCAGTTCTCCAAAAGCCCAAGAAGGTCCAGTGGCCTGTTGGAAAAGCACCTTTGGGACAACCATGATCTGGATGATGGACAATCTCCATGGATACAACAGGGTGTGGTTGTGCAGAAGAGAAATGCAGGGTGTTCCAATAACTACATCGGCCTGTTGAGATTTAAACCGTATTCTTCGCTTGAGATGTTGAGAAGGCCACTGAATTGGGCCATTGGACTGCTGTGGAAAGACCTTTCTTTGTGTTTGTCTCTTCCTGGTTTTGCAAAAAAAAGTTCTATTTCCTTATTTCGTCTTCTTATGCCCTATCCGTTATCGGACGTTGGCGATCATGTTGGCGATCCTGTTTTTATTAGCAGCCGCACGAAAAAGTGCTGCTGAGTTTTGTCCAAACCAGTCCCTTAGATTTCCTTATTTGGGGACCTCTTATGCTGATGGAGGATGCCTGGTATTTTTTGGACTGGGTTATTATTATTATTATTATTTAAAGGTAGCATTTTATACGAGAGATAACAGAAAGAACATCTAATCCTGAGCTAAACTGTCAGATATCAGAATGAAAGGCAATACCAGCGAAAAGGTTGAATAGTCTGTTCTCCTTGATGGGAAAGTTTTATGAACGTGTTAGTGAACTAAAAGCAGAGGGAGAGAGAGAGAGAAAATGGCACATCTTGGCTGTCTTTTATGGAAAAATTGCCCTTTGCAACTCTCTCTTAAAAGGAAACACGTTTTATCTGCCTTCCGTCATCCGAGATCAAAGCCAAACCTGAAACACGGTTTAGATAAGAGCCCTCCAGAAGGGTAGCACTAACCTCATCAAAAGGCCAGCCCTGTCTACAGCGAGATGCTCCCAGGGGTGGTGGGGTGGGGTGGGGGTTACCAAACCAGACCGTTCTTCCCCCAACAGGTTTTTGGGAGGCTGACACCGTAGTGGTGAGACTGCTTGTCTTCAAATACATTCATGGTGGGAGAAGATGACTAAAAAACAAATAGACTTTAAACCAGAATTGTTTCAGCTAGGAATAATAGGAGCCAACTACGAGAAAGATTGCGGATATCTAATACTACATGTATTAACAGCAGCAAGAATCATATTTGCCCAGTATTGGGAAAATGAAAACCTATCAACTGAAGAAGTACTAATTAAAAAAATTCCAGAGTGCGCAGAAATAGATAGATCGACTTTAGAGATTAAAGAGAGAAAGTTCAGTTTACTTTAGAACATGGGATAATTTTTATCAATGGCTAGAAAAACGGTTTAGAGAGAAAGGAATGTGATATGTAATTTTGAATGCATATTAACTAGCAAGAAGGAATGACATGGAGTGATTAACTAATATTGCCTAAGAAAATTAACCGTATTTATTATTATCACTTATTACTATAACTATTATTGTTTAAATATGTACTCAGACAATATGCTGTTTGCTAAATATTGAAAATGTTACCAATCCTGATCCTGACCCCAACCCTAATCTAGACCCCAATCCCAACCCTAACCCCATTCTACCTTTAACCCCACAAAAACTAATAAAACTTAAAAAAAAACATACTAGGAGGGGGGTGGGATTTCTGAGGAAGGTCTGAATGGGGTGGGGGCTCTGCAGATCTTCTGCGCTGCTTTTGCTGGATGGGCCAAAGGTGGTGTAGATCAGCTCAGCCTGAGAGCCACGTATGAGGAAGGCCAGAGTCCTGACACTGGTCATCCATTCTCTGTCCCCTTCCCACTCCTTCCTTAGGTTCCCAGCCTTTGTGAAGACCTCCTGTCCTCCGTGGACCAGCCTCTGAAGATCGCTCGCGACAAGGTGGTGGGCAAGGACTATCTCCTCTGCGATTACAACCGGGATGGCGATTCCTACAGGTAGGCTCACGGTTCCTTTCTCTCCACAGGACACGGCTAGCCTGCTCCTCTGAGTTTGGGGCAAGTACAGATAGTCCTCGGCTTACAACAGTGCATTTAGCGATCGGCGTTAATGGCCGTTTTTCACACTGATGACCGTGGCAGCATCGTGACCAAAGTTCAGACGCTTGGCAGCTGACTCCTGTTTATGACGGTATTGCGGTCTCCTGGGCTCACGTGATCCCCCTTTTGTGTCCTTCCACGTCAAGGAGGACGCCAGGTGCACTTAGCCTATTGCTAACTTAACAACTGCAGCACTTCGCTTCGCAGCTCTGGCCAGAAAAGTCGTGAAAAGGGGCAAAACTTGCTGAGCGAGCGTTTCGCTTGGCAGCATAAAATTGGGGTTCAGTTGTGGCCGTACCTTGAGGGGCTACCCGTTAGCTGATGGCATCGAGCTCTCGAAGGCCGTGCCACACCAGGAGGACTTCTGCCTGAAGGCAGGCAGACCCACAGGATACAGTTCATTTGCAGCAAGCTGAATGACACACACACACACACACGCAACACACATGTGTTGCTAACCGAAGGGTTCACAGATGTAGAAGCCTGTAGGAGTTTTCTGGAGATGGGAGGCCCTTAAATACCTATTCCCAGTAGTACAGGTATTCCTTGACCATCCAGCCCAAAATTTATGTTGCTAAGCAAGGGAGCCGTTGAGCGGGTTTTGCCCCGTTTTACGACCTTCCTCCCGTTGTTAAGGGAATCACTGCCATTGCTAAGCTAGAAACACGGTTAAGTGGATTATCAGAGAGTTGCAAAACAGAGTCATGTGACCCCCCCCCCGGGACTCTGCAACCGTCATAAACACAAGTCGGTGGCCAAGCGTCCGAATTTCGCTCACATGACCACGGGGACCGCTGCAACGGTTGTCAGTGTGAAAAAATGGTTGCAAGGTCACATCCAATCCGTTGGTAAACTCTCCTCCTCACCCATGGGCCAGACAGGCCCCGCTCACCTCCGCAAGGCCTGTTTGTGGGAGACACATCTGGGAAATGTCAGCAGCCCCCTCCTATAACCTCCTCGCCTTTAATCACCCTCCTGGAACACGTCTGCATTGTGTGTGTGTGTGTGTGTGTGTGTGTGTGTGTGTGTGTGTGTGTGTGTGTTGCTTCCAAGAGGCTGCTTTTCTGCAACAGAAACTGAAGAGAGGCAGGCGGGGGACCAGCTCCAGGTCCTCTCCTCCCACGGGGTGCCCCCATCTGCCTTTCCTCAGAACACCCTCTCCCCGAAACGTGTCTTGAGCACTTGCTTTCTATAAAGGCACTTTTTGGGGTAACACGATGGATTTCTGATGGATAAAGTTACTGCCTCCCCCGTGTTCTTCTTATCCTTTTTACAACTCTGCCTGTGTTTTCGGCAGGTCAGGAAAGAGCTGTGTAGCTCTGGAATTCCACGCTGGGTGTTTTGTGTGTTTCCTACCTGCACATCTCTACTTCATTGAAGGAGATGTGATAACGGGGGACACAAGCCCTACTTGTCCGCACTTCCCCGTGCCCAGATACAAGCGGCCGTTCTTAACTCACAATAAAAAAACGAACTCTGGCCCTTAAAAAGTACTTCAGTAAAAAAAAAACATTTGGCACAAATCCTGCTCCTTAGAATCATTTGAAAATACGAATTTTAACGCCATGAGCCTCAAGGTGCATCCCATAACATCCAAAACCATTAAAAGCCCAAGCACACGCAGCTAATTGAAAGCAGTAACTGGCAGCTTGGTTAAAAAAATAATAATAATTCCAGGGCTAACACAGTCTCTCTCATTTAAAAGAGCCACCGAGTAACAATGGGGCTGTCCACGTGAAATGTGGAGGATGTGAAATGTGGAGGGTGTCCTCATGCTGACGAGGATTTGGTGGGGGATTTTTCCCCCCATTTGCCCTTTGTTCCTTCCCTACATCAGAAATGGGACTGAATTTAAGGGGAGACGCGTGGGAGGAGGGACTGAATGGGGCGTGGGAGCGCCCTTTTCTCTCCCTTCTCCTCTCCTCTTGGCTGGCTGGCTTTAATGCAGTTCAAATGGTTTTCTTCCCATCCAATTACAACACACACACACACCAGCCCATGCCCCCCCTCCTCTTGCACACGTAGGCCAGACTGGAGACCCCCTGCCCAGGTAGTCTGCACTGTGTCTGTTCTCCGTGCCACTGCAACATCGGGAAGGAGGGGGGGGGGACTCTTTTGATGTGAGATGAAAATCATAGTGTTTTTTTTCTCTCCCCCTCCCCTCCTTCCACAGGTCACCCTGGAGTAACAAGTACGACCCGCCGTTGGAAGATGGCGCCATGCCTTCGGCTCGCCTGCGCAAGCTCGAAGTGGAAGCCAACAACGCCTTTGACCAGTACAGAGACTTGTACGTTGAACCCTTCTCTGGTGGGGAACCGTGGGGGGGGGAGTGGCTGGCAAAGGGGGGGACAAGGTAAGGAGTGAGCCCCTGTCCATTCCCTGAAGGTAGGGGCTTTTTCCCACAAAGAGCCCCCCCCCTTCCTTACATGCCTGTTTATTTTTCCCCCGTGCTGTGTTGGAAGTCGGTGCAGATCTTTCTGCAGAGGGAGCTCAGCCTTTCCTGGGGGGGGGGCATCCCAGTCCTCCCCTCCCTTCCCCTCCCCACTTATGGCCTTGCAGATGAACCGAGCCAAAATCTAAGGCCTGGTCTTAAGTTACAGGGAAGAACCTGCTGCCACAGGTTTGGAATGCCTCCGAAGAATAAGCCGCCTTCTCCAGCAGCTGCGATGGAAGGCCATCAGATTTAATCCTCACCTTGGAGGGGGGGTCTTTCTTTAAAATTGAGTTGGGGGGGCAGGGGCCCTTTCCTGAAGCTGTTTGCCTCCTTGTCTGGGGGGGAGACTGAATATGGTCAGGACTTAGCTGAGGGTTTGTAGCTGTACCTGTATCAGGTGGCGCCCCCCCCCCTTTTAAAGCCCAGGTTTTCCTTGAGCTACGACTACAGTTGGGCCCGAGGTTTCTGTTGCTAAGCGAGACATTTTGTTCAATGAACCTTGCCCCGCTTTACGGCCTCACTTGCCCTGGTTGTTATGCGAATCACTGTCGTTTTAAGTTAGTAACAAGGTTAAGTGACACAGGTTAGTAACAGTTAGTTAGTTAGTTAGTTAATTAGTTAGTAACATAGGTTAAGTTAAGTGACTCTGGCTTCCCCCATTGTCTTGGCTGGTCAGAAAGTCACAAACGGGGATCATCCGGCACTGCAACCGTCATCAGTCCCGGCCAGTTGCCAAGCGTTCAAATTTTGATCGTGTGTTCATCACGGGGATGCTGCTACGGCCATAAGCGTGAAAAACGGTCGCAAGTTGCTTCTTTCAGTAGTTTGTAACTTCGAATGTTCATGAAACAAGCGGTTATAAGATGAGGGACGCGTTGAAGTTCCCCCTTCAGCTTCTCGGTGGGCGACTCTGTGTAGCTGGTTTGATGTTCTCCCGTCCCGGGGCCGAATGCTGGGGTCAGCTTGAGTAAAGGAGCTGCATCGTGTTCCCTTAGCCCAGGGGTCTTCAAACTTGGCCTTTTTATGACTTGTGGACTTCAATTCCCAGAATTCCTCAGCCAGCGTCCCTATACAGATGTCCATTCAACTTCTATAGCTGTCCTGCTCAGTCAATAACTCTGGGCAGCTTATAATTCATTTATCTCTGACCTCTGGAATTAGAAACAAGGGGGACTCTCTCTCTCAGCCCCATAAACATTGAATCCCTTCTATAGAATGGAATAGGAGAGCTGGAAGAAGGGACCATGGAGGTCTTCTAGACCAACCCCTTGCTCAAACAGGAGACCCTAGACCAGGGGTCTTCCAACGTGGCCCTTTGATGACTGGTGGACTTCAACTCCTAGAATTCCTCAGCCAGGCACACATGCCAGGCTGAGGAATTCTGGGAGTTGAAGTCCACCAGTCATAAAAGGGCCAAGTTGGAAGACTCCTGCCTTAGCCTCTTTTCCCTAATTAGCCCCCCCCCACGCCCAGGTGCATGGACTACAACTCCCAGGAGCCCGTGGCAGCAGCTCTTTGCTGTTGTCTTTGTGTTGCTGATTGTGGGACTTGGGGCCCTTGTTGCTAATCTCTTCCTTTTCTCTCTCTTTGTCCCTGAGGCTTCGCGTGTTTTAGAGGATGACATAAAAGAGACTTTTAAAAACATGGACCACCATTTGTCTGAAATGGTAGAGGGTTTCCCGCTGGAGCAGGGGGCTGGACTAGAAGACCTTCCAACTCTATTATTATTGTTGTTGTTATTTTCTCTTTAATGGAGCCCAGCACAATTTGCTTCGTTCTGTCTATAAGGGGTGACATTTCATCCCCCCACCTCCCTGAACCTGCAGAGCCACACCATCGTTGGGAATTTTAATCGTCATCGATTTGATCAGTTAATTGTGAAACCAGATTAGCTAATGGGCAAACACAGCCGACTTACCTTTAAAAGAGAGAGAGAGAGATTGCGACGTAAGATTGAAGCGATAAATGTGAACGGTTCACTGCACAGTTCTTTGGCACTTGTCCTGGAACATGGGGGCTGGCCTGCCGCTGCCAGAAAGAGAATTGGAGCAGAAATAAAAACCAAGCGGCAGCATCGATTAAAAAAACAAAACTGTCTTTCTGGAGGCAGCTGTGTTAAATGGGAAGGGAGCAACAGTTGTTCACCAACTTTTCTCCATGTTTTGCTCATGGATTTTGGTCAAGGCCTGGAGACTTTTGGTCCAGGTTATTTGGCTGGCCTCTTTGTGTGTTATCTAGGCTTTTATTTTAGGCAGACTTTTTTAAAGGTTGGGTTCCTACCCTAAATATCAGGATCCTGTGTTATTCCGTGTGACGCTCTGTGGAAGCCAGAGTTGGACTTTGAAGAACCATGAGAATCTATAAAGATTCTCAGTCATCCAGGTCATGGTTGTCCCAAAGATGCTTTTTTTTCCCCCACTAGGCAACTGGATTTTCTTGTTTTCCTTTGAGGACTTTTCGCTTGTCATCCCAGAAGCTTCTTCAGCTCTGACTGGATGGTGGGGAATGGAAGGATTTATACTCCTTGCAGACAGCTGGTCATCTGCATCCTTTTAGAGCAGCGGTTCTCAACCTGTGGGTCAGGACCCCATTTGGGGTCGAACGACCATTTCACGGGGGTCGCCAAACAATGCAGTCCGCCATTTTTTCCCCCTTTTCCTTAGCTGTGCTACTCCCTTTTATTCTATTGGCTTTTGAAAGCCAATAGAATAGACTCTCTTGAATAGGAATTGTCCAGGCTGTCTCTGCCCTGCTGAGCCCGCCAAAAGTCCCATTCTGCGAACGGTGCTGCACCAGTTGAGTAGTCCTCGACTTACGACCGGTTGAGTAGTCCTCGACGTACGACCGGTTGGGGGTCGCGGCATTAAAAAGGTTGAGAACCACTGGTTTAGAGGGTTGTTGAGGCCACCTGAAGGTTTATCTCTGTCCTCAGGGTCACCTGAGTGGTGCAAATGGGTGTGGAAACATCTTCAGAGGAAAAACTCCAGTTACCTGGGGGTGGGGGAGAGCATCTTTGGGACAGGAGAGAAAGAGAATGAAAGATCTTGAACGTTGACATTAGAGAAGATGGGAGAGCCAAGAAAACAGACCAGTGGATCCTAGAACAAATCAACTCTTCAGAGTTGTCACTCACCTGGGACCAGGCTCAGGTAATCCTACTTTGGGACATCATATGAAGACCTGAAGAAGGTCCTGATGCTGGGACAGGTGGAAAGAGAAGAAGAAGACAACCGGCAGCCAGGTGGATGGACTCAGTTACAGCAGTGATAGATGCAGTGTTGGAAGCGCTGAAGGACCAGGCTGGGGACAGAGCCTCACAGAGAACATCCATCTGTATGGCCACTAAGAGTTGACACTGACTTGATGGCCCTTAACCACTTCCTACCCAGGTTGAGGGGAAATCTGATCAGTGCTTTATTGTGTGTGGTGCAATATCATATACCAGGAACAATATACATACATGTGCCAATACAGCAGGCTCCAACACACAGCAGTTACAGCAGGAAAACAGAGAGAGAACACATCAGCAGAGCCTTCCCTTTATACAAATGCTCTTAAAGAGACACAGACCCTGCTGAGTCATTCCCATCATTACATCTTACATTACATGAGCTGGTTAGCTTTTAAATCATTACCTTGACAGAAATTGCCTTCTGAATTCTCTTCAATAATCGTCTGAAGGCTCCACCAGGCTCTATTTTTTTTTTAGGGTAACCCCCATGTTCTGATGACCCTGTAGACGGCCTGGGGTTCAGTCAGGCAAAGATTTCTGGCTCCTCCTTGCGAATCCAGGAGAAGCAGATGGTTGCAATCGGACTACAGGCTTCGGGAGGAGCAGCTGTGTGTGGAGGAGCTTGGCTGGGGAGCTTCTCCAGGTCCCCTCCTGCCTTAGATTTTGTGGGGAGGGGTCTTTGAAAAAGGCGGTCCAGTTGCAGAATGTAATTATTCCCGATTGTCTGAAGGGAGGCTTGTGAGGACTGTGAAGACCTCCCCAGTGGGAAAGACCATAGATTAATCCGCATTTGGCTGGAGAGTATAACCCAAACGAGCTTTCGTCCTGTCCAGAAGGCCCTGTTTTGAATTAGATCCTCATTTATCGTACTGTGAGAGCATCCTGGATACACCCCAAGTCTTAATCAGCTTTTGTTCCTTCAGAAAAAAGAAAATCAGCAAAGCTTGCGAGCGTCTTTTAGATGAACAAAATGTACTTCTGGCGCTGAGTTCGGTAGGCTAAGATTCTCCAGCCCTGCTTGATTGGGAAAGGTGGACGTATCTTCTGGAAGGTCCTCTGGAGACCCTGCTTGGGTTGTCCCAGATGGTCTGACGCTGGACAGGACGTTGGTCTTCCCAACTGGGGGTGAGGGAGGCAGAGATGTGTGACTTGATTGCCCCAATTCTCCAGGAGAAGCTTCGTCAATTCCTACTTTCTGACGGGCTGCTGGGAATTGTAGCTCCCCAGGGAAGGGGGGAGGGGGAGGGCACAGGCTCCCTATGCTTTAGCATGGACGTCAAACTTTTTGGCTGGGTCTGGTACTGAACTGACCCAGTCCCCTCCCTCCCTCCCCCCAGCAATTTGCGGCTCCCCATCCCTGGCTCTGTGGCCCTTTCCGGTTTCTGGTGAGCCCTCTGCCAGGCAGGTGTGTCGGTGTGGTCGGCCTGGGGTGCCCATCCATGCCTGCACGGGGGCTTCATTGCCCTTGGTCCGAGCCTCGTAAGCCTTGGGACAATCCGGTGTTGCGTTCACTCCCCCCCCCCTTTGTCAGACCCCAGAACACACCATGGGGTTTGTAGTCACAGCTGCCCATACAAAGCAGCCAGGGGTCTGTGAAACCTAAGGAAGCTCAGGCTGACTTTTCTCCCACCACGGATGGCCCTGCTCTCCCGTGGAAGCTTCTGGGCCCCAAGGCATTCAAGGCTTGGATCTCGGTAGAGCGGGGGGGGGGGGGGTGTTCCAGCCTTGGCAACTTTAAGACCTGTGGACTTCCACAATTGCTAGCTGGGGAATTCTGGGAGATGAAGTCTGCCAGTTGCCAAAGTTGGAGACCCTTGCTGCAGAAGTGATTGGAAGTAGAGGCTGTGCTTCTTCTTCTTCTTCTTCTTCTTCTTCTTCTTCTTCTTCTTCTTCTTCTTCTTCTTCTTCTTCTTCTTCTTCTCTTCTTCCTCTTCCTCTTTTTCTTTCTCTTTCTCTTTCTCTTCTTCTTCTTCTTCCTCTTCCTCTTCTTCTTCTTCTTCCTCTTTCTCTTTTTCTTTCTCTTCTTCTTCTTCTTCTTCTTCTTCTTCTTCTTCTTCTTCTTCTTCTTCTTCTTCTTCTTCTTCTTCTTCTTCTTCTTCTTTCTCTTCCTCTTCCTCTTTTTCTTTTTCTTTCTCTTCTTCTTCTTCTTCTTCTTCTTCTTCTTCTTCTTCTTCTTCTTCTTCTTCTTCTTCTTCTTCTTCTTCTTCTTCTTCCTCTCCTTCTCCTCCTCCTCTCCTTCTCCTCCTCCTCCTCCTCCTCCTTCTCCCTCTTCTGCTTCTCCTTCTCCTCCTTGTTCCTTCATTCCTCCTCCTCCCCCCTCACATGTCCTTCTAACACTGATGGTGTTCCCTAGTTGGGTCATGAAACGTCTGCAGGAAAACCACCACGCTCAGAGAGGACCAAGGAGCCCTACAGTCCTCCTCCTCCTCCCAAATCTGAAGCAGAGAACCCCCTGAGGTCATCCCCCTTGATCCCCGTGCTCTTCCTGTGGCCCCGAGCCTTGACCCGACCGGTCCCAGCAGCAAGCAGACCCTTCAGAGCCCCCTGCCTGGTTTACCTGCCTCGGACCCGCTTGGCTGCCATCAGAGATTCGGGGGGGGGGAGGGGCGGGGCGGGTGAGGAGGTGGGCAAAGGACCCCCGTTTCCCCCCTCCACCGTGTGGCATCTGAATCCGCCCTTTGTTCTCCCGGAGTCGGAGTCTGCCCAGCTGCCAGCCAGATGTTCAGTCTGGAAGCTTTACCTGGCATGGAGGCCGTGCAGATCTCACCCGATCGGTATGTGTGCCTAGGGGCGGCTTGCACCTGTAGGCAGGCTGGGGGGGGGGAAGCCTTTGTCAAGGGCCTGCCCAGGACCATGGGCACCCTTTGGAGGGGATTTGCTAACGCTGCAGCAGGAAAGGTTGTGTATGTGTGTTGTGTGAAGGAAAAAAAGGCTCTCGGCCCCTTCCCCACCAAAAGTCTCTGTGTTTTGGGCTGGATCGGTTCCTCCCCTCTGCAGACAACCTCCTTTGCCCCGTTTTCTCTCTCTCCCCCCCCCTGCCCCCCCCACCTTGCAGACCTGAGCTGCTGAGCCTTTGGCGGGAGGGAAAAGCCCCCTAAGCCGCGCTGCGTGTGGGTCAGAACCGCAGGATGGCAAGGGGGCTGTTTTTCCTGGCCGCCTGCATCCGCCCCTCCCCCCCCCAGGAACATGAGGCCAGGGCCAGCGTCAGCCGCGGGCCAGGTGGAAACAGCATGTTCACATTTAAAATAATATTAATCCTAGATTTGAGCCGGCCGAGCGTTTCCATGTGTGCGCTTGCTTGTTCTGGCACGGGTCTTCCCCGGACGGCCCTCTGTGGTCTGGCCCAGCCTTTTGGTCCCTTCGTAAAACAGACCCACAAAGGCCTTTGTGTAAAATCTCCTCGATGGGAAGCGTGTTAAAAAAAATAAATCAGATTTCCTCCCCCGTTTGGGCTCGTTCCTGGTCGTTCGGGGCTAGAAGACAGAAGTTGGGGGTCACTGGGGGGGGAACGTGGGGGTCTCGTGATACTCGCCCCCTTTTCCTCCCGATCGGCGTTTCGTCTCTTGGCCAGCTGGTGAAATTACAGTTTGAGGGAAGACATCCTTGACTTACAACAGTTCACTTAGTAATTGTTCAAAGTTACAACGGCACTTGAAAAAAGCGACTTGGGACCGTTTTTCAGACTTACGACCCCGGTCACGTGATCAGAATCCAGCTGCTTGGCCACTGGCTCATACTTACGACCGTTGCTGGATCCCGGGGCCACGTGATCCCCTCGGGCGACCTTTTGACCCGCAAAATCAACGGGGAAGCCCGACGCACTTTAAGCACCGGGCGACCGGCTTATCAACTGCAAGCGATCCAGTTAACAACGGTGGGCAGAAAGGTTGTGAAAACGGGGCAAAACTGACCGAACAAATGTGTCGCTTAACGACGTAAATTTGGGGCTCAGTGGCGGTTGTAAGTCGAGGGGGCCGTTGTAGAGGTCGGGTCGTAGGTAAGCCGTCGTAGGGTTGACAGACTGCCCGTATTCGCTTTCGGGTGTTCTTTGTGTTTTGTTCTGAATTCGAACTCGGTTGCTTTGGAAAGGCAAAAAGCTCCATGGGGAGAAAGCTAACACCCCATTCCCATTTCATATGGGAGGTCCAAACTTTGATCAGCTCTGCTCAGGCTGGAGGAGGGTCTGGTGCACTCTGAGAAGCCATTTCTGGGGGTCACAGAAAAACCAAGGATGAGGGAACAGACCATGTGCCATCCCCGCCCCTCAAAGCGGGTTAAAGAACCGTCCCCATCTTTGCAGGGCTGGGGCTTGGTGCTGCCCCATTTAAGCCCGCTCTGAGTATGTCCCTTCAATAGGAGCCAGCCGTGTGCTGCAGCTGCCAAAAGAGCCAACTCAGTGCTGGGCTGCATTAACAGAGGGATAGAATCAAGATCAGGTGAAGTCTTAATACCACTTTACAAGGCCTTGGTAAAGCCACACCTGGAATGCTGCATCCAGTTTTGGTCACCATGATGTCAAAAAGATGCTGAGACTCTAGAACACAGGTCGGCAACCTGCGGCTCCGGAGCCGCATGCGGCTCTTTGAGCCTTCCCCTGTGGCTCCCAGCCTCCTCTGCCTTTGCAGAGAGAGAGAGAGAGAGACAGAGAGAGGCAATTGCACTTCCTTGCTTCTCTCTCTCTCTCTCTCTCTCTCTCTCAATCTCTGTGTGTGTGTGTGTGTTGTGTGTATGTGTAAAAGAGAGTGCACTCACAGTGTTCTCCGAGGAGCTGAAAAGCTTACTGGGCGGAGCTCCTCCCTTTGCTGCGTCTCTGCAGGAAGCAGGAAGCAGGAAGGGCAGGAGAGAGCTAGCTAGCCCAGCTAGGCTGACTCAGGAATTCTGGGAGTTGAAGTCCATGAGTCATAAAAGAGACGAGGTTGCCTACCCCGGAGGTTGTTGGACAACAGCTTGAAGCTTGCCAGGTGAGCAGCAGATAGGAGGGGGGGAGAAAGAGAGAGAGAGAAAGAGAGAGAGAGGGAGAGAGAGAGAGTGGGGGAAGAGGAGTGGCAGACCAAGGGCAGATAGAGAGGGAGGGAGAGAGAGACCCTTTTGACATCTAAAATGAAGATAACACTGCATATATCCTTTTTTTACCTGTGTGTGTATGTAATTTTATTCTCTTAAAGCATTCTCTTGGTGATCATTGTTTTAATAGTATGGATATTCCCAAGAGTCATATTTTTACTTTTATTTTTAATGTGTGTCTGTGTGTCTGTGTGTGTGTGTATATATATACACATATACACATACACATACACACATACACACACACACACGCACACACCCCTATAATAAAGGTAAAAAAGCATATATGCAGTGTTATCTTCATTTTAGATATCAAAAGGGTTTTGCGGCTCCCAGTGTTTTGTTTTTGGTGGGAAACGGGTCCAAGTGGCTCTTTGAGTGTTTTGGGTTGCCTACCCCTGCTCTAGAAAGAGTGCAGAGAAGAGCAACAAAGATGATCAGGGGACTGGAGGCTAAAGCATATAAGGAAAGGCTGCCGGAATTGGGGATGTCCAGTTTAAGGAAGAGAAGGACGAGGAGGGACATGATAGCAGTCTTCCAGTATCTCAGGGGCTGCCCCAAAGAAGAGGCAGTCAAGCTATTCTCCAAAGCACCTCCAAAGGCAGGACAAGAAGCAAGGGATGGAAACTAATCCAGGAGAGAAGCAACCTAGAACTAAGGAGAAATTTCCTGACAGAACAGTTAACCAGTGGAACCACCTGCCTCCAGAAGTGGTGAATGCTCCAATACTGGAAGTCTTTAAGAAGAGACTGGACAGCCCTTTGTCCAGCCTTGCCTGCCCTTTCCGCTTCCCGCTTCCTGGAATTGCCTCGTCCTGTCCTGGGGGATCAATCTCTGTCTTTCGTTTTGGCTGCAGGTATTTCGAAGGGGGTGTTTCCTCGGTTTACCTCTGGGATCTGGATCACGGATTTGCCGGGGTGATTCTAATTAAGAAAGCTGGCGATGGATCCAAGAAGATCAAAGGCTGCTGGGACTCCATCCATGTGGTAGAAGTCCAGGTAGAGCCCAGTCTCCCCCCTCCTTCTCTTGTGGGGGCAGATGGGATGCCTGGTGGACTTAATTCCATGTCCCCCCCAAAAAACAACCCCCCCTTATCTTAATATGGGAAAAGGACCCATATTAAGTGTTGCAAAAACGTCCCCTTATGAAAGGAAGGAGGGAGGGAGGAAGGAAGGAAGGAAGGAGACAGGAAGGGAGGAAGGAAGGAAGGAGATAGGAAGGGAGGGAGGAAGGAAGGGAAGAGACAAAGGGAGGGAGGAAGGAAGGAGACAAAGGGAGGGAGGGAGGAAGGAAGGAGATGAAGGGAAGAAGGAGACGGAGGAAGGAAGGAGATAGGGAGGGAGGAAGGAAGGGAGGGAGGGAGGAGAGAGGAAGGAAGGAGATGAAGGGAGGAAGGGAGGAAGAGAGGAAAGAAGAAAGGAAGGAGACAAAGGGAGGAAGGGAAGGAAAGAGAGAGAGGGAGGAAGGGAGGCTGCAGAACTAGAAGGGACCCCCTCCCCCTGTGTCTGCTTACTCCCCAGTGAGGGGGGCAGGGGATACCAGTTGCCCTGTCTCTGTCCTGGTGGGGCACGGGTGCTTTGGTGAACTTGGCAGAGGAGCTGGCCTCTTGAGCTACTCCGAAGAAGGATAGTGTGTGTGTGTGTGTGTGTGTGTGTGTGTGTGTGTGTGTGCGCGCGCGTGTGTGTGCGCGCGCGCTCACGAGCATTTCCCTCCTCCAGGAGAAGTCCAGCGGCCGCACTGCCCACTACAAGCTGACCTCTACGGTGATGCTGTGGCTGCAGACAAACAAGACGGGCTCGGGCACCATGAACCTGGGAGGCAGCCTCACCAGACAGGTACCTGGAGGCCCCCCACAGCTTCTCTCCAGCCCCTGCAGGGAACCAGGTGGTCTCTCCCCCCCCCTCCCCAGCCCCCCCAGCCCCCCCCCCCAGCCTACGCCCTGGACGTCCTGGGGCAGCCTGCAAAGGAGGTCAGGAACGCTCCCTGCCCAAAGAAGGAAGGAAGCAGCTCAAGGCCCCTGCGGGCGGCTGATGCCTCTCAAGTTGGGATGCTTCAGATTCCAGGGATTGGAAGATTAAAACAAAACCAAAAAAAAATATAAAAATTAAAACTCCCTCCCTCCTTACGGCTGTTGCACTTCTGTAATCTCTCCCATCTTCTACCCCTTGTCAGCGCCCCCGTTCCCCCCAACAGCCTGGTGACAATGTCCCCCCTCGCCCTCTTTAATCTGCAGCGGGTCTCCCCGCACCCCCCACCCCCAATCTCCAGCCACCTCTGGGCCTGCTGCTTCCAGATGGGGAGGGGGGGGAGGGAAGAAACCGCACTGCAGACCCTCCCCCTTGCGCTTTTCTCAGCCACACCCGTCCAGAACGTGGGGTGGGGGGGGCACCTGTGCCCTGTCGTCGGTGCCCAGCTCCGGGAACATCTGTCGAGAGGTGTTTTCGCACCCGGGCTCTTGCCAGCAACTCCGCAGAAGGTGCTGCGTTCAGATGCCCCAGGACGAGACCGGAGAAGCTCCCGGAGGGCCCCACCACCTCTTCCTGTCGTGTCCCCCACCCCCAGTGAAACAAAGGCCTTAATCTCCCTCCCGGCTCCCTTTTGTGTGTTTTTTTAAAAAAACAACAACTCGGCCAGCTAATTGGAGCTGGCACCCAGGCTATCATTGCTTGCCTGGAAGGCACTCTTGATTAAATGACTTGCCCCGTCAGGCCTCTCTCTCTGCTGGGGGGGGGGGAGACGCAGGGTTTGGCCTCCCCCCTCCTTGCAAAGACCCCCCCATTTCAGGCACATTCCTTGCCTGACCTTTGTGGAAAGGGGGGGGGCAGAGAGGGACCTCGGCTCCATCCTGGTCTGCCTTCACCAACTGGGTTGCCCCCCCCCCCACTCTGTCAGAAGGCTGCCGGGCACATTAATCTTGTCCCATATGTGGATGGGGATGGGAGGGCTGTTTTCCTCTGAGCTTCTGCTGACCCCTGGGCAGGTGAGGCTCTGCAGCCAGCGGCCTCCTCCTCTTTCCTCCATAGCACTGATGACGTTACCTAGTTGGGTAATGAAAGAACCACCAGGCTCAGAGAGCACCAAGGACCCCACAGTCCTCCTCCCCCTCCTCCTCCCCCCCTCCCCCTCCCCCTCCTCTCTGTAACCCCACAGGACCCCATAGTCGTCCTCTCCTTTTTATCCTCCTCCTCCTCTCTGTAACCCCATTCCCTTCTAGCACTGATGAAATTACCCAGTTGGGTAATGAAATATCTTCAAGAAAACAGAGAGCACCAAAGACAGTTCTCCTTTTCCTCTTCCTCCTCCTCCTCCTCCTCCTCCTCCTCCTCCTCCTCCTCCTCCTCCTCCTCCTCCTCCTCCTCCTCCTCCTCCTCATCTTTTTCCTTCCTTTCTTCCCAGATGGAAAAAGACGAGACGGTGAGCGATTCCTCTCCGCATATAGCCAATATTGGCCGTCTGGTTGAGGTAAGGCCCTTGTGACGGACTGGGGGGGGGGGAATCCTTTCTACCTCCCGGACTGTGGGCTCTGGAGAAATGGGCTGAAGGGGCCCTTGGCCCCTAACCTTTGACCTTCCTGTTTTTGCCAGTGGGCCGCCATTAGCCGAAGAGCCCAAACAGCTTGGGGTTCACATCCCTATCCAGGGCCTCTCATTATCTTCACCTCTGCTTTGGTAGAGTTAATTACTAAGGGAGCTGGCTGGCAGGCCAGAGGAGGTGCCCACGTGTGTGTGTGTGTGTGTGTGTGTGTGTGTGTGTGTGTGTGTGTGTGTGTGTGTGTGTGTGTGAACAGAGATGTCCTTTCCTTGTTTCAACCTCCCTCTGCCTGCCCCCTTTCCCAAAGGCACACGTGGAGATTGCCACTAAGCTTTGGAGAAGATGAATGCATAAAAGGGAGAGAAGACAGGGAAGGATTGGCTAAGACACTCCCTTTTATTTATCCCAAGGTCTCCCCGTTATTTGCCATCTCCCTTCAAGTGCCTCTGATGCCAAAAGATGGGGGGGGGGGTTAAACAAGTTTCCCAAAACTCAAATCTTTCAAACCCATTGAAAAGCAAACAAACAGTCAATCTCGGCCCTTGCAAGCTATTTCTCCTTGAGAAGCTATTTCTGCCTTGCTCCTGTTGGAGAAGGCGCAGATGCCGCCCACGGTCCCATCTCCCAAGGCTGGTGCCTGGAGGATGAGAAATGGGGGCAGCTGACCTCGAAATGCACGCCGGACACCAGGCTGCAAAGGGCCAATTGAACTGGGGGGCTGGAAACCACCCTTTCTTTTTGGCAGCTGTCTGCTGCCCCCTTGTGGCCAGGTCCCCACCTGACCGTTAACGGGGGACTCCCGACCTGGACGATTCCTTATTTTTATTCTCCCTTCCGTACGGAAAATGCTACGATTCTGCCAAAATGGCAGCGCCAGCTTTTCTCTTAAGACAGGCCCAGAGGGAGTCTGGCGGGAGGGCTTTACAGCAGCGGTTCTCCACCTGTGGGTCGGGACCCCATTTGGGGTCGAAGGACCATTTCACGGGGGTCGCCAAACAACGCAGTCTGCCATTTTTTCCCCCCTTTTCCTTAACTGTGCTACTCCCTTTTATTCTATCGGCTTTTGAAAGCCAATAGAATAGATTCTCTTGAATAGAGTCTAATCCCATTGGCTTTCAAAAGCCAATAGGAATTGTCCAGGCTGTCTCTGCCCTGCTGAGCCGGCCAAAAGTCCCATTCTGCAAACGGTGCTGCACCAGTCGAGTAGTCCTCGACTTACGACCGGTTGAGTAGTCCTCGACTTACGACCAGTTGGGGGGTCGTGGCATTAAAAAGGTTGAGAACCACTGCTTTACAGGCTCAAAGGGAGAAGGGAAAAATAAGGATTAGATTAAAATGAGCATTAAAAATAGGAAGGGGAGGAAAAGCGTTTGAGCAGAGGTGACCATGAATTCTCTCTCTCTCTCTCTCTCTCTCCCCCCCCCCTTCTAGGACATGGAGAATAAAATCAGAAGTACGCTGAATGAGATTTATTTTGGAAAGACAAAGGACATTGTCAACGGGCTGAGGTAACGGATGGACTGCAGTACTGTGCTCTTTTCCTCTTGAGATACTTAATATTTGTTGGAAACGGTCTAAGAGGGCTCCTGCTTGAGCGGGGGGGGGGGGGTTTGGACTAGAAGACCTCCAGGGTTCCCTTCCAGCTTTTTCTTCTCTCATAGCTGTCTCCCACTGCCCCAGAAGGACAGATGGGTTGACTGCCTGCCTCCCGTTAAGCCTTCTCCACCTTCTCCAATCTGCCCTGCGTTGATGGGCTGATTCAGAAGGCGATCGGATGGGTCAGTCAGTCGGCCAGCAGGGCCCGTCTGGGGCGGGAAAAGCTGCCCCAGATTCCGCCGAAAGCGTCTCTCTCATTTTGCAAACTCGGCCCCCATCGCCCACGGCAGAGTGGCCCTGGCCGTGCCTGATGGCGCCTGCTTCTCCAGTTAAACCAGCTGGAGCAGAGGATAGGATGATAGTTTGCCGGGAACAGACGTTAGCGTCGGAAGAAAGGCTCAGGATGAAGGGCTACCGTCCTCCTTTCCTCTTTCTCTCTCTGATCTACGGAAACCCGGGGATTTTGGCACCGGAAGTCTCCAAAGTGCTCCTCCTTCCTTCCTTTCTTTCTTTCTTTCTTTCTTTCCTTCCTTCTTTCTTTCTTTCTTTCTTTCTTTCTTTCTTTCTTTCTTTCTTTCTTTCTCTCTCTCTCTCTCTCTCTCTCTCTCTCTCTCTTTCTTTTTCTTTCTTTCTTTCTTTCTCTTTCTTTCTCTTTCTTTCTCTTTCTTTCTTTCTTTCTTTCTTTCCTTTCTCTTTCTTTCTTTCTTTCTCTTTCTTTCTCTTTCTTTCTCTTTCTTTCTTTCTCTTTCTTTCTTTCTCTCTTTCTTTTTCTTTCTTTCCTTTCTCTTTTTTCGTTTTCTTTCTTTCTCTTTCTTTCTTTCTCTCTTTTTCTTTCTTTCTTTCTTTCCTTTTTCTTTCTTTCTTTTTCTTTCTTTCTTTCTCTTTCTTTCTTTCCTTTTTTCTCTTTCTTTTTTCTCTCTCTTTCTTTCTCTTTTTCTTTTTCTTTCTTTCTCTTTTCTTTCCTTCTTTCTCTCCTTCCTTCCTTCCTTCCTTTTCTTTCTCTCTCTCTCTCTCTCTACCACACACACACACACACACACACACACACACAAACACACCTGTCCCCACTCTGCCTTCTTCCTCGTTTTCTCTCTGCCAAACTTGTCTGACCTTTTCTTTCCTTCCTCGGCTGGCTCCCCTCTTCCGTCTCCGCCCCGCTCGCTCCAGATCAATTGACGCTATTCCCGACAACCAAAAGTATAAGCAGTTGCAGAGGGAGCTCTCCCAGGTTCTGACCCAGCGGCAGATGTACATTCAGCCAGATAACTAAACCAGCTCAGGTACATCACCACCCCGTTTCCAACCCCCCCCCCCGCTGAAACTGGCTTACAAGGCACCTTGGCACTAAAACACCACTCACCTCGACCGAGAGCGTCCGCATGGGGGACTCGGCCTTCACACCAACTAACTCCTAATTCTTGCAAGTTTTTTTTTTAATTATTATTTTTTTAAGGAAAAGGATGGAGGAAGCCTCCTTACACACCTGACTTTGCTCCCCTTTGCCTTGCTGTGTGGAGTTCCTTGCACCTGAGAGTGCGATAGACACAGGGGTGTGTGTGTGTTGCCTGTGTATGTTTGCCGGTGTGGTTTTTGCGACCGATTTCAACCCTGGAACAGCCCCCCTCCCCTCCCTACCAACTAGGCTGCTGTGTACACATAGCCCTCGTTTAATGACCGCTGAAAGTTACGACGGAGCCCCTCCCTCCCCCTCCAAATGCTACTAACCATGTGCTGGAACTCAGCTCCGGGGATCTGGTTATGAATTGCGGGAAGCACTACCTGACGCGTCGAAGGGACGTTGGGTCGGAGATGTGGCTTGGGGGGGGGGGAGAAAAAAAAAGAACATTTGCCAGAAGCTACCGCCGTCCTCAGCAACATCGCCCTCTCCCTGGGGGCTGCCCATCCCACCCCCTGCCCCATTTTCCTCCTAACCCTCTGTCTCTTTTCTCCTCCAGGTCTGTGCAGACGTTTGCAGACAAATCAAAGCAGGAGGCTCTGAAGAACGACCTGGTGGAGGCATTGAAGAGGAAACAGCAAAGTTAGAAACCAGTATACCCCCCCCTCCCTTGACGATGCTAATAAGACACGCCATGCACTCATTAGCCCCCCCCCCTTCTTAGGAATCTTTTTTTTTTTCCTTCCTGGCCTCCTCCCCGTTATTTTCATTTCCCGCGTACGATATTCTTCCACTTATTAAAAAATAAATAAAAACCTCCATTTTATTTCCCCACCATCCCAAATAAAGCTGTACAAACTGTGTTTTTTTTGGGGGGGGGTGGTCTCTAGCAGCTTAATTTCCACTGTCTTATCGCCACAGCCTTGCAAAAACGTATTTTCTTTTTTGAGAAACTTCTGAGATTTGTGCCCCTTTTTTTCTTCTGGGCCTTATGTTCGACCTGCATATTTCCACCAATCACGTCTTTTTTTTTTTTTTTTTTTTTGCTTTTTTTTTCTTGGTGCGCCCCGTCTCCCGCTGCTTTCCCCCCCCCATATTTTGTTATATTGGTGTAAAAAATGTACAAGAAGCAAAACAAAAAAAAAACCTTTATTAAATACCATGGTTTGTGAACGAAGGAAGAAAACCATCGTGGAAAAATGTGTTTGGTGTATGTTTGGGAGAAAGGTTGAGAAAGGAGGACGGGGGTGTGGGGGACGAGGAGGGGGCAGCTGCCCCCCAAAAAAGAGATCTGTGAAAAGCTGTCGAGATTCGCCCCAGTTCTGCTTTCCACCCGAGAGGCTGCGGTGTGCTGCTTTTGACTCGTTCTTGATTTCTATGGAATGCGAAAGACTGGTTATTATTATTTTTTAAATATGTAATGCTTAACTTGGAATCTACGTCTTCTACTTGAGCCTCCATACTTAAAAACAGGAAAAAAAATAAAATAAAATCTTGAAAAAAATGTAAAAGCGTTGTTGGGTGCTCGGCTGTGTCTGATTCCTTCTCCTGCCTCTTCCCAACCCTCAAGGGTCCAGCCTTTGATTGGCAGGTCATAGCCTGTGGGGGGGGGAGGGAGGGATGGGCTAAGTCAGTGGTGGCGAACCTATGGCACGGGTGCCAGAGGTGGCACTCAGAGCCCTGTGTGTGGGCACACGTGCCGTCGCCCCAGTCCTAGGCCTTCAGCTGGGTTTTATAAAATCTTTTTGCTTTAGGCCTCTGCCACCATGTGCAAAAAAAAAAAAAAAAGGGGTTCAATCAGACAATTTCAACTTCTTGCAGGAAAAAAAATCAAAGTTGGAATTGAGTGATTGAACTTTTTAGTCCCACCCAGTCTGCCGTTACCACCGCAGCCACGCCCACCCAATGGGCCACGCCCATCCAAATGGACACATCCACCCAATGGGCCACGCCCACCCGGCACCCGACAATGCATAAGTGGGTTTTGGGTTGCAGTTTGGGCACTCGGTCACTAAAAGGTTCACCATCATTGGGCTAAGCGCTTCAAATGAAACGCTCTTTTTAACAGAAATGGCGTTTTCTCCTTTGTCTGCTCCTGAGCACAGCCCGGCATCGTCCCGAGTGTCTCATCTGCCAGCTGGGAAAGAATTTTGAGAAACGGGATGGTTCAGACTGAAGGTTGGCAAATGTGCCCCTTTGAGTCCTTTTTTTTCATGGTAAACCCACCCCCGGCCCCCACCTCATTTCTCACAGCTTCTTAGCAGTTTTGGGCTTTTCAGTTTTGTTACCTGTCAAGTTTTGTATTTTCTAGAGCCAGCTGGCCTGAAATATTTACGCCGGCCTGGTCTCCTCGCGGAAAGAAACCTGCTTCCCATCTCAAGAGTCCTGTAGGTATGGAAAAAGAGGTTTTATAATGCGCGGAAGGGAGTGGAACTGGAGGGAGCCTCTCCAGCCAGAGGCAGTCTACCTCTGGAATGTCTCGCAAACCTCAGAGGCGCTGCTCTGCAAACTCGTTAATAAAGGAGAATATTGGTAGCTCCAGGGTTGACATGAGGGGTCCTTGGTGTGCTCTGAGCTTGCTTGTTTTCTTGCAGACGTTTCATGACCCAACTAGATAACATCATCAGTGCTAGGAGGAATGGTGTTTGTGGAGAGGAGGAGGAGGAGGAGGAGGAGGCAAAGGACTGTGGGGTCCTTGGTGCCCTCTGAGCTGGGTTGTTTTCTTGCAGATGTTTCATGACCCAACTAGGTGATATCATCAGTGCTAGAAGGAAGGTGAATATGTAGAGAGGAGGAGATGAGGTTGTGGAGGAGGAAGATGGGAATAAAAGGACTATAGGGGTCCTTGGTGCTCTCTGAGCTTGTTTTCTTGCAGACATTTCATGACCCAACTAGGTAACGTCATCAGTGCTAGAAGGAAGGGGAATATGCAGAGAGGAGGAGATGGGGTGGAGGAGGAAAATGGGAAGGAGGAAAAGGACTGTAGGGGTCCTTGGTGCTTTCTGAGCGTGGTGGTTTTCTTGCAGACGTTTCATGACCCAACTAGGTAACATCATCAGTGCTAGAAGGGAGGAGGAGGAGGAGGAGGAGAATTGTCTTTGGTGCTCTCTGAGTTTCATTGTTTTCTTAAAGATGTTTCATTACCCAACTAGGTAATTTCATCAGTGCTAGAAGGGAATGGGGTTACAGAGAGGAGGAGGAGGATAAAAAGGAGAGGAGGACTATGGGGTCCTGTGGGGTTACAGAGAGGAGGAGGAGGGGGAAGAGGACTGTGGGGTCCTTGGTGCTCTCTGAGCCTAGTGGTTTTCTTGCAGACGTTTCATGACCCAACTAGGTAACATCATCAGTGTTAGGAGGAGTGGCGTTTGTGGAGAGGAGGAGGAGTATGGGGTCCTTGGTGCCCTCTGAGCTGGGTTGTTTTCTTGCATACGTTTCATAACCCAAGTAGATAACGTCCTCAGGGCTAGAAGAAGTGCTGTTTGCAGTCAGTTGATAATTTGGTGGCTCGCCCTGTCCGTGTTGGTTGTGGGTGGTCTTAGAGATTCTGTTGGCTTCTTTGGCAGTTCCTTGATTGGGGTCTTGCTGACTGGATTGTTGCTTTGATGTAGTCCACCCATCATAAAAGAGCCAACGTTGCCTACCCCTGCTTTAGCATACAGAAGTTGTTAACGGTTTAGGTGTCTATCGGGGGGGGGGGGGGCTAATTTGTCAGAATACTTCTAGAAACCCCCTGGCCTTTTGGGACAGTCACGTTTTCCCAACTGAAAGCAGGGTGAAATCTGTCCATACGTTGTGAAAGTAAAGAAGTTCCATCACGACCAGCCGTCAAGTGAACAAGACCCCCGTCAAGAAACTGCCGAAGAAGCAAACAGCCTAACCAAAGAAACTCTTAAGACCCCCCCCCCAAAAAAAATACTCTGACAGGTCAAACCACAAGAATATAAACCAACAGCAAAGCCCACTCCTTACTAGCCCTGATGACGTTATCTAGTTTGGGTCATGAAACGTCTGCGAGAAAACTCGGCTCGAGAGGGCACCTTTACAAACGCTGCCGAGTTATTTGAAAAGCAGCAAGGATTCCTTCCCTCTTAGCTGCCCTTGCTTTGCAAAAAATAAAGGGGGGGGGGCATTGGGAGAGCTGAAGCCCCCTCACTGCTGCTTCCAGGGTGAGATAAGAGGGTCTGCAGCAGCACCAGGGACTAGTTCTGTGTAGAGCAGTGGTTCTCCACCTGTGGGTCGGGACCCCATTTGGGGTTGAACGACCATTTCACGGGGGTCGCCAAACAAGGCTGTCCGCCATTTTTTTCCCCTTTTCTTTGGCCACGCCCCTGGCACCCGGTGATGTATAAGTGGTTGGGGGTCACCACAACATGGGGAACTATATTATGGGGTCGCGGCATTAGAAAGGTTGAGAACCACCGGTGTAGAGGTTTCCGCACGGACCGGAGGTGCGTGGTTTTGCATGCTGCCTGCATCCCACGGATGGGGCTTTGTTTGCGTGGCCCAGTTATCTGGCATGGCGGGGACTGGAGCCGGTCCACGGACCGGGGGGGGGAGTTGGGGAGCCCTGGTCTACGGGGTTAAGCAAAGAACCCATATCCACTCACGCTGGGGTGGTGGGAACACTTTTATTTATTTCTCCATGTCTACAAAAAATGCCCATTGTGTGAAAAAAAGACACCCCCACCCCCACCCAACCTTCTTTTATTTGCGAGCCTCAACGAGGTCCAGACAGGCAGCCAGCTGCTGGGCACTGAATTCCTTGGGGTTTGGGGGGTTTTTTCCCTCACACCCCCCCCCCCCAAGAGTTCTATTTCATAAATTAACAAGTTTTCCCTTTGGGGAATCAGAGGTGAGTCATTGCAGTCCATACAGTCTCGTGCCTCAATGTTCGTTTTTCCGGTTTTTTTCCTCCCCTCTCCCCCCCCCGTCCCCCCCCAAAGGAATAAATCTCTTGAGAGGTAGGACAGGATCTCGTAAGGTGCCACTTTCCAGAGGCGGAGAGTTTTCTAGAGCAGAGAAAGGCCAGGGCTTTCTAGAGTCGCAGGAGGACTCCAAAACCCGCTGCTGGAATCCCAACGCGGCCAAGACCCGATCCTGGCGCCGCTCAGCTCTCCACGGGGTTCTCCTCTCGGCCCAAGAGGGCGTCTCTCTCCTCCAGGACCGGTAGCTTCCTCCGACGGTAGGCCAGGAACTGGAACGAAATCTGAAGACGAAGAGTTAAGGTTGGCTGCTTCTGGGACTGGGCCGGCAGCCACCGTGGGCTACTACGAAAGGCTTAAAACATCAGGAAGATCTTTTCCCGTGTTTGCTGCCTCGTTTAAAGCACGGGGCTGAAATCTCTGGGCAGCTGCGGGCCAGGGCAGAATTGGGGCAGCCGAGTTAATTGCCAAGTTATAGTACTTGTTAGCCAATACTTCAAAAAGATGGTTTCTCATCAGCCTGTGAGCAGCCTCAACAGGGTTAAAGACAGGATGTGTGTGTGTGTGTGTGTGTGTGTGAGAGAGAGAGAGAGAGAGAGAGAAAACTAGGGAACACAGGCTGCAAAAGGGAATGGCAGAGAGGGAAGGGGAGAGAGGGAGAGAAAAGAGGGAGGGAGAGGAAGAGGAGAGAGAGAGGACAGATTAAAGTAAGGGCGTGGAAGCACAAACCTGCATTAAGTGACCCACTTGGCAAAGCAAAAAAGTGCTTGACATCCTGTAAACCACTTAGAGAGGGCTGTAAAGCACTATGAAGCGGTATATAAGTCTTAAGTGCTGTTACTATATAAGAGCAGCAGGCTGACTCTGCCTACAGCCAGCAGTTTGATCCTAACTGGCTCAAGGTTGACTCAGCCTTCCATCCTTCCAAGGTCGGTAAAACAAGGACCCAGATAGTTGGGGGGGAATATGGTAACTCTGTAAACCGCTTAGAGAGGGCCGTAAAGCACTGTGAAGCGGTATATAAGTCTTATTGCTTGGGAAGGAAGGAAGGAAAGGAAGGAAGGAAGGAAGGAAGGAAGGAAGGAAGGAAGGAAGGAAGGAAGGAAGGAAGGAAGGAAGGAAGGAAGCCGTGGTGCAGTGGTTAGAATGCAGGATTGCAGGCTGACTCTGCCCACTGCCAGCAGTTAGATCCTGACCGGCTCACGGTTGACTCAGCCTTCTGTCCTTCTGAGGTCAGACAGATGAGGACTCAGATTGTTGGAGGTGCAACAGGCTGACTCTAAACCACTCAGAAAGGGCTGTAAAGACCATGAAGCGATACATAAGTCTTAAGTGCTGTTGCTATTGACCCACGTCTGTTTTTGCAACCCTCAATTCTGACGCCATCGTTGACTGCAGAACCAAAAGCTTACGGCACTCTCCTATTTTCCTGTCTGTCTAAGGCAGGGGTAGGCAACCAAAAACACTCAAAGAGCCACTTGGACCCGTTTCCCACCAAAAACAAAACACTGGGAGCCACAAAACCCTTTTGATATCTAAAATGAAGATAACACTGCATATATCCTTTTTTACCTTTATTATAGGTGTGTGTATGTGTGTGTGTGTATATGTGTATATATATATATATATATATATATATATATATATATATATATATATTATATATATATATATATATATATTTGTTTTCTGAGGTTTTCGCGGGTGTTTGTATGTAGGTCTTTGGTTGTTCGGGTTTTCTCCCGCGTAAAATTGGAAGTGTCTTGGCGACATTTCGACAAAGTCCCATTCGTCATCTTCAGGCTGGTGTTTTCAGCTTCGTGCTTCGAGCAGCAAAGTTGAGTGCTTCGAAGCACGAAGCTGAAAACACCAGCCTGAAGATGACGAATGGGACTTCGTCGAAACGTCGCCAAGACACTTCCAATTTTACGCGGGAGAAAACCTGAACAACCAAAGACCTACATACACACACACACACACACACACACACACATATACACATTAAAAATAAAAGTAAAAATATGACTCTTGGGAATATCCATACTATTAAAACAATGATCACCAAGAGAATGCTTTTAGAGAATAAAATTACATACACACACAGGTAAAAAAAGGATATATGCAGTGTTATCTTCATTTTAGATGTCAAAAGGGTCTCTCTCTCTCTGTCTCTCTATCTGCCCTTGATCTGCCACTCCTCTTCCCCCACTCTCTCTCTCCCTCTCTCTCTCTCCCTCTCTCTCTCTTTCTTCCCCCCCCTCCTATCTGCTGCTCACCTGGCAAGCTTCAAGCTGCTGTCCAACAACCTCCGGGGTAGGCAACCTCGTCTCTTTTATGACTCATGGACTTCAACTCCCAGAATTCCTGAGTCAGCCTAGCTGGGCTAGCTAGCTCTCTCCTGCCCTTCCTGCTTCCTGCAGAGACGCAGCAAAGGGAGGAGCTCCGCCCAGTAAGCTTTTCAGCTCCTCGGAGAACACTGTGAGTGCACGCTCTTTTACACATACACACACACAAAACACACAGAGAGAGAGAGAGAGAGAGAGAGAGAGAGAGAGAGAGAGAGAGAGAGAGAGAAGCAGGGAAGTGCCATTGCCTCTCTCTGTCTCTGTCTCTCTCTGCAAAGGCAGAGGAGGCTGGGAGCCACAGGGGAAGGCTCAAAGAGCCGCATGCGGCTCCGGAGCCGCAGGTTGCCGACCTGTGGTCTAAGGGATTCTATCGCACCAAATCTGGACTTGGCACATTTAAAGGCAGAAACACCCCCCCCCAACACACACACACACACACACTACCACCACCCCCAATTCCAGAAAAGGATACCACAGTGTCAAGAGAGAGAACCCCCAAGCTGCCAATCAGCCACGGCAAATGGTGGATCACGTAATTGCCTTCCGTCTGCCCCGGATCCGGGTTTTTCATTAAGACGCTGAGGCCGTAGAGCGAGTTTCCAAGCATCACCAGAGCAAAAAGCGAGAAGGAGATGCCGGTAGTGCATTTCCGCTTGAACTGCAAAGCAGAGAGGAAATTGAGAAGCGTCGTCAATCCAACAGGCAGGCTTCGCCCAGCCTCCTTAATTGTGATTATTATTACATTAAGCCAGTTTACGCGGTTGCACAATTCACTGGGAGCCCAGCTAGCTGAAGTGAAGCAAGGATAATGCACAGGTAAATGGGATCTTCTTGTCTTAATCAGATCAGGGGGTGTGGACAGCCTTAAAATCCCGTTTTGTCCAACAGATCTCAGATATTTGGCTTTTAGCTACAGCGCAAGGCTTGGCGATTGTATGCTCGGGGCTGGAAGTAACCCCGTGTTTTCCCCAATATAAGACAGGGTTTTATATTGGTTTTTGCTCCAAAAGAGGCGTTAAGGCAGGGGTCTTCAAACTTGGCCCTTTGATGACTTGTGGACTTCAACTCCCAGAATTCCTCAGCCAGCCATACATGGCTGGCTGAGGAATTCTGGGAGTTGAAGTCCATAAGTCTTAAAAGTGGCCGAGGTTTGCCTTGAAAAACATTTTTTGCTTCCCTGGAGAAAGCTGGAAATTGAGTCTGGGGGACCTCTGCTCCCTGAAATATGCCCCTCCCTTCTGACGTGGGCCTTGCCCCTTTCTCTTTGAGCAATGCTTACATTGGTGTAGATCTGAGGGACCCGGGAAAGCAAGTATAGCACCGAAGAAGTGGATCCGATCACAAAACCGCATATCTCCCTTTGGGTGAAAGGCTGCAGAAAGACACAAAATGGTCATGGGATGCTGCAGAAAGAATGTCCCAACAGGTGTTGTGGGATCCAGGGGGAAACAGGTTGAAGTAACTGAATGGGAAACCTCACCAACAGGTGATTTAGTTCATGCGTTAGTTTGATCACCCGTTGTCCCTCCCTTGAATCCACCCGCTACCTCAAATTCAACACTAATCTTTGTCTTAATATTTTTTCCACCCAAGGGGTAAACTTTTAACTTTAGAAAGACATGTCCCAAAGATGCTTTTTTCACGAGGCAAATGGACTTCCTTGTTTTTCCTTTGAAGACATTTCGCTTCTCATCCAAGCAGCTTCCTCCGCTCTGACTGGATGGTGGGGAACAGAAGGATTTATACTCCTTGCAGACAGCTGGTCATTTGCATCCTTTTAGAGAGTCGTTGAGGCCACCTGGAGGTTTATCTGTATCCTCAGGGTCACCTGAGTGGTGCAAATGGGTGTGGAGCCTTCTTGGAACTGCTGAAAGGACGGTGTTGTAGATTGGAGATGAAGGGCATTTTGACATAGTTGGCCTCTTGGATCCCCCTTTCAACCCAGCGGTCCTCTCTGTCCAAAATGTGGACTTTGTCATATGGCATAATATTGGAGAACAAACCGATCAGGATAAGATTCAGAAGTCCATCTGCATTTAAAAAGACAAAGGCCCCTCTTTCAAAGACAGCAAAGTCCACATTTTGGACAGAGAGGATCCCTGGTTTGAAAGAGGGGTCAAAGAGGACACAGATAAACCTCCAGGTGGCCTCAACGACCCTCTAAAAGGATGCAAAGGACCAGCTGTCTGCAAGGAGTATCAGTCCTTCCACTCCCCACCATCCTGTCAGAATTGAAGAAGCTTCTGAGATGAGAAGCGAAACGTCTTCAAAGAAAAACAAGAAAGTCCAGTGGCCTGGTGAAAAAAACACCTTTGGGACAAGTATGGCCTGGATGACGGAGAATCTCCATAGAGACTCAGAAATAATTATTAACTTGGAGGAATTCCACTTGTGGAAAGCAATTATTGCACAACCAGGGGGAGCCACAAAATGACTGGCATTTATCAGTGACCGCCAGGCCCCTTCCCCAAGCTTCTTTTGCTGGGTGTTCAGTTTCCTGTGTCCACTGGGGTCTCTAGGAAGGAGGCCAGGGCTTCTGTCAACTTCAGCGCAGGGGTCTTCCAACTTGGCCCTTTGATGACTTGTGGGCTTCAACTCCCAGAATTCCTCAGCCAGGCACGCGTGCCTGGCTGAGGAATTCTGGGAGTTGAAGCCCACAAGTCATCAAAGGGCCAAGTTGGAAGACCCCTGCTTTAGCATAATCCCCAACTACTGCTAACCTCTATCGGCACTATTTCGACGGGATTCACTGTCTGTGGATCTTGAACCCAAAGCCAGGGCAGCTTGGTCTTCGCAAGACATTTAAGATCAGTTCTGCCCAAAAGAGAAGAACGTTACCTCCCAGCCTGATGGGTAGTCTGCAGAAAATAGAAGTTTCCGGCTTTTAAACATCCCTCCATCACCCAAGTGAGAAGAGGCAGGATCTCGATGCCAGGCGGGCGTCAACGTGGTTCCCAGGACCGCGACTGCGAAGACGGCATTGATCGAAGCTGAAACTGAGAAAAGGGAGATATGTTGGAGGTTAAAAAGTCTGCCTTTGCTTTGCTTCTTCTTTTTTTTTTTTTGTCTGTCCCATCAGACAAATTACTAAAAGAGAAACTGGCTTTTGTGATGTCAGCGTAATCGTTTCCTGGTAGCTGCAGAAAGCAGAACCATCATCCCCTGCCACAGGAGTTGCTATCATCCCACCGACCAGATCTAAACTTGGAATACTGTATCCAGTTTTGGTCACCACAATGTAAAAAAAGATGCTGAGTCTCTAGAAAGAGTACAGAGAAGAGCAACAAAGATGATCAGGGGACTGGAGGCTAAAACGTATAAGGAACAGTTGCTGGAATTGAGTCTGTCTAGTTTAAGGAAGAGAAGGACGAGGGGGGACATGATAGCGGCCTTCCAGTATCTCAGGGGCTGCCCCAAAGAAGAGGCAGTCAAGCTATTCTCCAAAGCACTTGAGGGCAGGACAAGAAGCAACGGGTGGAAACTCATCCAGGAGAGAAGCAACCTGGAACTATGGAGAAACTTCCTGACAGTGAGAACAATTAACCAGTGGAACAACCTGCCTCCAGAAGCAGTGAAGGCCCCAACACTGGAAGTTTTTAAGAAGAGACTGGACAGCCATTTGTCTGAAATGGTCTAGGGCAGGGGTAGGCAACCCAAAACACTCAAAGAGCCACTTGGACCCGTTTCCCACCAAAAACAAAACACCAGGAGCTGCAAAACCCTTTTGATATCTAAAATGAAGATAACACTGCCTATATCCTTTTTTACCTTTATTATAGGTGTGTGTGTGTGTGTGTGTGTGTGTGTGTGTGTGTGTATGGACATTTGTGTATGTATATATATATATATAAAAGTAAAAATATGACTCTTGGGAATATCCATACTATTAAAACAATGATCACCAAGAGAATGCTTTAAGAGAATAAAATTACATACACACACAGGTAAAAAAAGGATATATGCAGTGTTATCTTCATTTTAGATGTCAAAAGGGTCTCTCTCTCTCTCCCTCTCTATCTGCCCTTGGTCTGCCACTCCTCTTCCCCCACTGTCTTTCTTTCTCTCTCTCTTTCCTCTCTCTCTCTCCCTCCCTCTCTCTCTTTCTCCCTCCCTCCTATCTGCTGCTCACCTGGCAAGCTTCAGCTGTTGTCCAACAAGCTCAGGGGTAAGCAACCTCGTTTCTTTTATGACTCATGGACTTCAACTCCCAGAATTCCTGAGTCAGCCTAGCTGGGCTAGCTAGCTCTCTCCTACCCAAACACACACAGAGAGAGAGAGAGAGAGAGAGAGAGAGAGAGAGAGAGAGAGAGAGAGAGGAGCGCAATTGCCTCTCTCTGTCTCTGTCTCTCTCTGCAAAGGCAGAGGAGGCTGGGAGCCGCAGGGGAAGGCTCAAAGAGCTGCATGCGGCTCCGGAGCCGCAGGTTGCCGACCTGTGGTATAGGGTTACCTGCCTGAGCAGGGGGTTGGACTAGATGACCTCCAAGGTCCCTTCCAACTGTTATTCTATTAAGAGGGGAGAAACCTATTCTCCAAAGCGCCTGAAGGCAGGACGGGTGGAAACTCATCAAGGAGAGAAACAACCTAGAACTAAGGAGAAACTTCCTGACACTGAGGACAATTAACCAGTGGAACCACCTGCCTCCAGAAGCGCTGAATGCTCCACCACTGGAAGTTTTTAAGAAGAGACTGGACAGCCATTTGTCTGAAATGGTATAGGGTTTCCTGCCTGAGCAGGGGGTTGGACTAGATGACCTCCAAGGTCCCTTCCAACTTTTATTATTATTATTAAACCTTTAGGGGGGTTAACAGAACTGAAACAGAAAGAGATAAGATCGAGGGGAACCCAGGATCTTTGTTCAAAATAATCCACGGGAAGTGCGTGAAAAGCTTAGTACGAGTAGCAGTTGTCTCACACAATTTCAACTTTGGCTCAAAGGGCATTACAGGTGCGAGGATGTGTGGTCTCATGGCAACCTGGAGACTCCGGTTTAGGGGCACCGGGATCACCAGTCCTCTTGATGAAGAGACGTGCTTCCCAATAAAACCACTGTCCATTCCTCTCCTGTTCCAGTAGGAGCCAGAGATCTCTCCATTTTAAAGAGCGTCCCATTACAAAAAGGGAAAGAAATCTGCCTGCATGCCTAAATAGAAAACCACAATTGTCCCCCAGCTTAGCATCCAAAGAGTTGTTTGTGTCGAAGTCCTGATTCAGAATCAAAATCTTGGGGGACATCACAGGACGATTTCAGAAGCGGGAGTTTTGTGTGTTTTGCCACCTGGGTGCCAAATCGGTGGACGCCAACTTACAGACTCTGTTTTGGTTCTTGATTTTGTAATAGACGTAGAGAGAGATCATGAGCAGATCAGCCAGCACGTAGTAAATGGCGGTGTAGACCTAGGGAAGAAGGAGGAGGAGGAGAAGCTTAGGGAATTCTGGGATAATGGAGAACCTAAGACAGGGCTAAATAAGGGGAGGGGAAGGCAGTCCCAAGGACCCCCGGCAGTGATGGCTTTGGGCATTTTCTCAGGACCAGCATGCTGAACCCTCCCGGTTAAACTCTGCTTTTTTAAGTTCTCACCTGTAGTGGCAGCTGATTGGCCAAGAAAGAGCCCACTAAATTCAGCGAATCGCCTCCCAGCCATCCCAGCAAGAAGTAAATGGACAAGGCCTGGTCCATAATGCCGGTTTTACAAGCCAGGTAGAACTGACTGCATGGAAAGGTGGAGGAAGAAAGAATTAAGAGGGAGCACAGAGTCACCCGTGACCAGTAAATTATACTATTGGGGGCGAAGGGGATTGGAGTCCAGGGTCTGGGGACAAGGCAAGTGCCCCCCCTTATCGTGTCATTCTGCAGAGGATGAAGCTAAACCACCCCAGAAGAGACTTTGAGGAGAAATTTTATTTATTTTTGGCAGCCGCTGAAACACAAACAGCTCTTTGTTTCCTGGCGTTGCTGGAGGGAATATTTCAAAAGCCACCCACAGCCAGGCATGGCAGGACAGCCAGCCGGTCCCAGGAAACGAGTCATCTCCATTGTGTCATCCCCAACGGGCAGCCACGTATTTGTCAGTCAAATCAAGGAAGGAAGGAAGGAAGGAAGGAAGGAAGGAAGGAAGGAAGGAAGGAAGGAAGGAAGGAAGGAAGGAAGGAAGGAAGGAAAAGGAAGGCCTCTTGCTACTGCGATAAGGAAGGAAGGAAGGAAGGAAGGAAGGAAGGAAGGAAGGAAGGAAGGAAGGAAGGGAAAAATAAGGAAGGCAATGAAGAATGGAACTGAAGGAGCGAAGGAAGGCAGGCCTCTTGCTACAGGAAGAAAGGAAGGGAAAAAAAAGAAAGAAAGAAAAAAAAAGAAAAAAAGGAAAGAAAAAGAAAACAGGAAGGCAATGAGACGAATGGAATGGAATGGAATAGAATGGAAGAAAGGAAGAGGAAGGCCTCTTGCTACTGTAATAAGGAGAGAAGGAAGGAAGGAAGGAAGGAAATGAAATAAGGAAGACAATGGGAAGGAAGGAAATGAAAAATAAAGACAATGAAAACAGGAAGGCAATGAAGAATGGAATTGAAGGAGGGAAGAAAGGCAGGCCTCTTGCTACAGGAAGGAAGGAAAGAAGGAAAGAAAGAAAAAGAGAGAGAAAGAAGAAAGAAAGAAAAAAGAAAGAAAAGAAAGAAAGAAAAATAAGAAAACAGGAAGACAATGAGAAGAATGGAATGGAATGGAATGGAATGGAAGGAAAGGAAAGAAGGAAAGGAAGGAAGGAAGGAAGGAAGGAAGGAAGGAAGGAAGGAAGGAAGGAAGGAAGGAAAGAGCCAGCCAACTAGCACCCTAAGCACAAATCTCCCAGGCTGGCTCCAGATGCCAAGTGAAGCCCCCCCCCCCACTTACGGGAAGGAAGCCCCAGCAAAGCAGGCGATGGAGACCAGGCCCAGCACCACGCTGGCGACGTCCCGGCCATCCTGAGCACACTCGTGGAAGACGGTCAGGATCCACTCCGAACCGTTGACACAATCCGAGGCGTTCCCGCTGGGGAAGCCGAACTTGTGAGGATGAGCAAACATGGTGGGCCTCAGGCAGGGGATAAAGCACTGGGAGTCACTGGAAATTCAAAAAAGGCCCTGTCCATTGTGAACCGGGATCCTGTGAAAAGGAAGAAGAGAGAAGGGGGATTCTCTTTCAGATTCATGAATGGCAAAAAAATAAATTAAAGAAAATACGCATTTTTCTTCCATTCTTTCCCCTGGACTGTTTCAGTCTCTTCTAGAATGGAGCTTTGCATTTAAAAAATATATATTTTAGTTCTTCTCCCGTGAACATTAAGTAGGTTGTGAAATAAACATTGTGATCCTAGCTTGCCTCCAGCTTCTGTTCCAGTGCTTAAAAGACCGAAGTGACCGATTTATTTCAGTGGAACCGCCATGTTCAGTGGCAGTATATCTGAGGCTGGTCCGAAGGGACCGCTGCTACGTTTTTGCCCTGGAGGTGAATCCCCCAGACTCGGCTGGAAAAGGGGACCCGGGCTGGGGACCCCCCTCTCCTCTCTTGCAGTGACTCATCCAGATGTTCGCATGTGACCCAAGCCTCCGCTGACTCAGGAGCCGCAATCAAACCTTATCAGCATTTTTCAAGTTGAAACTGCTGGGCCAGCAAGGAAGGAGGGGGGAGGCTGTCTCCCCCCCCATTTGGAAGACTTTGGCTTTTGAATCACCCCCCCTCCCCAAATAGGCTGCCGAGCAAGCCCCTCCACCCCACCCCACAATTTGTACAGCCGGTTGAGAAAAAAAAAAAAACAGATCAAGATAACTTAGCAGGAAAAGAAAGGCCTTGGTGATTCACCCGTGGGAGGAAAGGAGCGAGTTCAAGATTGACCAGGACATTCTTTTTTTTTGCTTTCGAAATCGTCCTGAAAAGACCTTGCTTTGTTTTCAGGCTGAGCAGCCAAACAGACCGACATCAAGCCGACCTCCTTAAGCAGGCTTTGGGGAGGCCGGGTTCGCTGGTCTGTTTAGTCCCGGGATATCTGAACTTGGCCAGAATTGGGGTCAAAGGTTTGTCCGACCTAACTAGGTTGTTGTAAGCTTTTACGGCTCCGGAGTTGTGGGCTTCCCAGTCTCAGCGGCTGGGGATTTGGGGAGATGGAGTCCCGGGGCGAGCACAGCTAGGGAAGGGACGAAGACGACCCCCCCATTGGGAGCTGGCCAAAGGCGAGGGAGGGTCTTCTACTCTCCCCCCCCCCCGTGTTTCTAGAGATGTCGGGGGCTCCAGGGATAGAGACTGGGAAGTCCCCAGGAAACCTTGAGATGGGTCGGCCTCCCCCCCCATCCTCCGCCTTCCTTTGGGGGGAGGGGGTCCCCCTTTGGCGGAGAGACCCCCCCTCCCCTTGCATCGCCCGACTCACCTCCCTTTCCCGGGGCTCCAGGCCAGCATCCCCCACCTGGCCAGGGGGGTCGGGGTCTGCTGCTCGGGGTTCTTTCTGGGGGGGGGCTCCCGACTCACCGGCCCTTTGGGTCTCCGCGCTGGGCTGGGGGCAACCCTGCTCCGCACCCCGGTTGCCGGGAAGCTTTAGCGGGCTTGTTTGGGTGCCTCTTTGCGGGCGACGACGAAGCCGGAGCCCTGCCCGCCGCTGACTCGCCCGGGAGGCTCAGCTGACGGCCGCCGGCTCCGCCTTGCGGGGCGGACCTGGGCTCAGCTGGCCCCGGGGAACGAGGGGAAGGGGGTCTCCTCTCCAACGGCCCCTCCCCGGATCGGATCCTCCCCCTCCCTCCCGGGCCTGGTGAAAAGGGGCGGGGGGCTCCCCAGCTGCTCCCACCCCAATCCCAGTCGCCAGTCCCTGCAGCCGTTTGAAGAAATAATAACAGTAGTAGTAATAGTAGTCGACGTAGTCGTAGGAATAATAATAATAATAATAATAATAATAAATAATAATAATAATAATATAAATAATAATAAATAATATAAAAAAATCAGTCTGAACATCTGGCTGACTGTGCGATGATCCATAATAATAATGTTGGAAGGGATCTTGGAGGTCATCCAGTCCAACCTCCTGCTCAAGCAGGAAACCCTATAGTACCATTTCAGACAAATGGCTGTCCAGTCTCTTCTGGAGGAAGGTAGTTCCGCTGGTTAATTGTTCTAACTGCCAGGAAGTTTCTCCTTAGTTCCAGGTTGCTTCTCTCCTGGATTGGTTTGAATAGAATAGAATAGAATAGAACTGGAAGGGACTTTAGAGGTCATCAAGTCCAACCCCCTGCTCAGGCAGGTAACCCTATGCCATTTCGGACAAAGGGCTGTCCAGTTTCGGCCAGGAACCGGGGGGGGGAGGGGGTTGGTTGGTGAGGGCGGCGTATTTAGGGTCCGTCTGGATGCCCTCGGGGTGCCCCCGCGAGGGTCCCTCCTCCTCCTCCTCCTGCCCGGGCTCGGAGGCGGGGCCGGGGGCCGGGCTAAGGCCTGCGTGGAGGCGCTTCTCTTCCGGACGATGGCCGGGAGGATGGCGGCGGGTCCCGGGCTCCGCTCGGTGCTGGGCACCATGGAGTTCGGGCGGCGGGCCGACGCGGAGGCCAGCGGGGCCATGCTGCGCGCCTTCCTGGCCCGCGGGCACGGCCGCCTGGATACGGCGCACATGTACGCGGCGGGCGAGTCGGAGCGCATCCTGGGCGCCCTGCTGGCCGCCGAGCCCGGCGCGGCGGGGAGAGGTGAGGGAGGGGCGCGGGGGAGGGGGCTGCGCGGCCCAGCAATGGTGCATCCCCCCCCCAACACACACACACATACACACGCCCAGCATTGGTGCATTCCCCCCAACACACACACACACACACACACACACACACACACACACACACCCCTTTGCAAACGCCAAAAGTGTCAGCAATTTAATGCAAACGCTGCGGTTGTGGGGCGGACGCGCAAAGTTGGTATGGGGGGAGGCAACTCTTATACTGGATGCAGAGGGGATCCAAATTTCTCTCTCTCTCTCTCTCTCACACACACACAGACACACACAGCACCTTGAAGTTAGACTCCTCTGTTGATTGCCCCCAGTCTGAGTCCCTCTGCCTTGCCCTCACTTAGATTTCCTTGGGGGGGGGGGTGAACCTGATTATTCAGCAACCAGCCCGGTTTAATCATTTATTTAATCCGAGGTTGGAGGATCCTGTTCCGGTTTGATTTGCCTGGAACTTAAGGAGGTCCCTGGAGAAGCAGAAATGAGATGGAAGGGAGCAGGCCGAACACAAAAAGCAGGCAGGAAATTAAAACCGAAGCTTTGGTGCTTTGAAAAAAGGGTAGGTAGGTAGGATAAATACATAATAGATAGATAGATAGATAGATAGATAGATAGATAGATAGATAGATAGATAGATAGATACTGTAGGTAGGTAGATAGATAACCTTTATTGTCATTTTTTACTGTGGGCACAATGGCACACATTAAAAATGAAAATAATAAAGTTGGAAGGGACCTTGGAGGTCATCTAGTCCAACCCCCCACTCAGGCAGGAGTCAAATGGCTGTCCAGTCTCTTCTTAAAAATCTCCAGTGTTGGAGCATTCACAGCTTCTGGAGGCAGGTTGTTCCACTGACTAATTGTTCTAACTGTCAGGAAATACATCCTTAATTCCAGGTTGCTTCTCTCCTTGGTGAGTTTCCATCCGTTGCTTCTTGTCCTGCCTTCAGGCACTTTGGAGAATAGCTTGACTCCCTCTTCTTTGGGGCAGCCCCTGAGATATTGGAAGACTGCCATCATGTCCCCCCTCGTCCTTTTCTTCATTAAACAAGACATACCCAATTCCAGCAATGGTTCCTTATATGTTTTAGCCTCCAGTCCCTTAATCATCTTTGTTGCTCTTCTCTGTTTAGTTGCTTGCTCTCAAACTGTACACATACATAACATACATTTAAACATACTATATACAACATATATATAAACCTACACCCTTACATATAAATAACATCTAAATATTAATCACTGTCCATCTTGAATAAGGGAATTTAGACTTTTCCAGGTAAATACAAACAGAACATTGACAAGAAGAACACCGACACACACATCCTTTAAACTCACCTGAAGATGTTACCTAGCCTGGTAACGAAACGTTTAAAAACAACCCACAAGCTCGGAGGACGCACCTTCGCCCTCAACAAACAAAAACACTTTCTGTTGTGATCCTAGAGAGGGGGTTGTTCCCATGAAAGCATTTTAGCAAAGCCCAAATACCTGCAAGTCATTTGGGGTGGGCCCAGTGGGGGAGGAGCACTCTGCCCATGCCCAGATGTCACCTTGGCATTCTGTGACAGAGCCACAGTGGTTACGGTAGGCGATGCCTGATGTGCATTAGTGTCTCCTGATCAGGAATTTATCAGGTTGACAGCAAGAATTGTATTTGCTCAATATGGGGAAAATGAAGATCTACCAGCGGAGGAAGTGTTAATTAAAAAAAATCTTAGAGTGTGCAGAAATGGATAGATTGACATTGAAAATGAAAGAGAAAGAAGACTCAGTTTATTTTAGAACATGGGATACTTTTTATAATTGGCTAGAAAAACCAGGTAGAGAGAAAGGAACGTGATATGTATTAGTAAACTAGACACTGAACCCAGACAATATGTTGCTGATAATATTTTAAGCACGTGATTATAAAAAACATATATATATTCCCAACGATTGCTTTTAACCCTGACGATGTCGGAAGCTTCCGACGAAAGCTAGGTTTATTTTATTAAATGTTTTTTCATTTATTCTCCTGGTGATCGTTATTTATTTATTTGTTTTATAATACACACACACACACACACACACACACACACACACATTAATTTACCAGGTTGAGAAGCTGAGGCTGTTACAGGGCTGCAAAGAGCCTTAAATTAATCCATTTGTAGGCTCTTCATATATTTTGAACGTTTCTGCTTTCCTAAGTGGGTCGATGGAGCCTCCATGCCTAAGAGCAGTCTATCGGAAGAGTCGTTAAGTCTCCCTGGGCTGTTTGGAAGCATTTTCCTTCTTTCCTTTCTTGAGTTTGCCTTCCAAAGGTGTCTCGTCCTTTTTTCCCCCCTGTCCACAGTCAAAATAGCCACAAAGGCCAATCCTTGGGATGGCAAAACCCTGAAGGCCAACAGCGTCCGCTCACAACTGGAAGAGTCTCTCCAGCGTCTGCGACTGCCGAGCGTGGACCTCTTCTACCTCCATGCTCCGGACCACGAGACCCCGGTGGAAGAGACCCTGCAGGCCTGCAATGAGCTTCACAAAGAGGTGTGGGGATTAGGGGGATGCTGGGAAATAATAGAATATTTTTATTGTCATTGTGTAACTCACAACGAAATTCACCTTGGACTTCAGGGCAGCCAGGCTGCCAAAGGGTGGAGAAGGGGGGCGTCCCCTTTGCCAGGTGAGACGCCCCTCTCCCCAGGGCGTGAGAGAGAGCTGGAGGGATCCTCAGAGACCATCTAGTCTGACACAGAGTGGCTGTATTCCTGGCACAACTCTTTCTCTGCACAGTGCTGGGTTACAGACCCGAAGGCCTTGATGGCCTGTCAGCAGATCCTTGAAAAATAGGACCTAACAAATGACGGTGTTATGGTTCCGGCTAATGAAACACTTCAAAGAACTTCCAGGCATTGATTTTCCTCAAAGTCTTTTATTGTTACAAAATGTCGGCACAGGCATAACCGAGGTGTGCCAAGATCTAAATTCTCTTCCCCTGAGCAATTAAATTATCAGCATGTTCCCTCCCCAAATTAGCTGCCATATATCACGTTATCCAATTAGTATGAAGATGAAAGGTTTCCTTCCTCTCTCTTTCCCGGGCTTTTCCCTCCACCCTCTTCTGCTCTGCATTAACTCTAAAAATACCAGACAGTTCTGCATATTGTCAAAGCAAGAATATACAGTATTTGCAGTGTTGACGGACGGGATGATTGCTTTGTCGCCCAACAGGGGAAGTTCAAAGAGCTCGGCTTGTCCAACTATGCCTCATGGGAGGTGGCGGAAATCTACACCCTTTGCAAAGCCCACCAGTGGCTGGTGCCGACGGTGTACCAGGTGAGCGAGGCAGGTTCGCCTTTTTAACAAGAGGGCCTTTTTGATCCGCTGGTGCGAAAAAACGCCGGCCGATTCTCTTGTTCATGCTGCTTGGTGAACGGCTTTCTGGGTGAACTCTGAAGTTTTTTTTTTTTTTTTTTGTTCTTGCCCTGCTTGAACCCACAGGGCATGTACAATGCGATCACGCGCCAAGTGGAGAAGGAGCTGTTCCCCTGTCTCAGGCACTTCGGGATGAGCTTCTACGCTTACAATCCCCTGGCCGGTATGGAATGGGGGCGATTTTTTTTTAAAAAAAAACCCCGAAGCCTTACCTGTGGAACTGCAGGATGGGTGAAAGGATGAATAGATCTTTAGTGAGTTTGTTGATGATCTCAAGACTCTGGTGTTTCTTGAACAGGTGGTCTTCTGACAGGGAAGTATAAGTACGAAGATAAAGACTTAAGTCAACCACCCACCGGCAGGTTTTTTGGGAACGACTGGGCCAAAGTCTACCAGGACAGGTGAGTCTCTAGCAGAAGGGACTAGCATCTTGAACACAAAAAAGGTGTTGAGAATTTGGAAAAAATCCAGAGAAGAGAACTAAGATGATCCAAGGCCGGGAGACTAAAACATACGAAGAACGGCTGCAGGACTTGGGTTTGGCTAGTCTAGAGAAAAGAAGAAATAGGGGAGACATGATAGCAGTCTTCCAGTGTCTGAGGGGCTGCCACAAAGAAGAAGGGGTCAAATTATTCTCCAAAACAGGACAAGAAACAATGGTTGGAAACTGACCAAAGAGAGAAGCAACCTGGAATTAAGGAGAAACTTCCTGACAGTGAGGACAATTAACCAGTGGAACAGTTTCCCTCTAAAAGTTGTGGGTGCTCCATCACTGGACATTTTTAAGAAGAGACTGGACAGTCACTTGTCTGAACTGGTATAGGTTCTCCTGCTCGAGCAGGGGATGGACTAGAAGACCTCCAAGGTCCCTTCCAGCTGTGTTCTGTTCTGTTCAAGCAGTAGTGAACGGAGATTGGGTCTTTGGTTGAAATGGCCAGTAAAATGGGGCAAAATTCCACTTAGCCACTGTCTTGCTTAGCAGTAGAAATTTTGAGCTCAAGTCGTAAGTCAAGGTAGTCCTTGACTTATGACCACAATTGAGCTCAAAAATTTCTGTGGCTAAGCAAGACAGTGGCTAAGTGGAATTTTGCCCCATTTTATGACCACCCTTGCCACAGTCATTGGGTGAATCCCTGCAGTTGTTAAGATAGCCACACGGTTGTTAAGTGAATCTGGCTCCCCCATTGACTTTTGCTTGTCAGAAGGTCGCAAAAGGGGATCCCGTGACACTGTGACCGTCATAAATATGAACCAGTTGCCGAGCACCCAAATTTTCATCATGGGACACTGTGGGGATGCTGCAAAGATGGTGTGAGAAACGGCTGCAAGTCATTTTTTTTCAGGAATTCTGGGAGTTGAAGTCCATGAGTCATAAAGCGGCCTAGACCAGGGTAGGCAACCTTGGCTCTTTTATGACTTGTGGACTTCAACTTCCAGAATTCCTGAGCCAGCATGGGGGAACTATGGCCCCCTCATGACTCCTGGACTTCAACTCCCAGAATTCCTGAGCCAGCCATGCTGAGGGGAAAGGGAGAGGCTTCCAAGCTGAGCCATACTGGCTGAGGAATTCTGGGAGTTGAAGTCCATGAGTCATAAAGCGGCTTGGGCCTAAGCCAGAGGTAGGCAACCTTGGCTCTTTTATGACTCGTGGACTTCAACTTCCAGAATTTCTGAGCCAGCCTGGCTCAGCTTGGAAACCTCTCCCTTTCCCCTCAGCATGGCTGGCTCAGGAATTCTGGGAGTTGAAGTCCACGAGTCATGAAGGGGGCCATAGTTCCCCCATGCTGGCTCGGGAATTCTGGGAGTTGAAGTCCACGAGTCATAAAAGAGCCAAGGTTGCCTACCCCTGCTCTAAACTAATAAAGTCTACATTAATTAACATTAATTATGCTTTCATATGTTCCTCTGAGGGGTCTTCAAACTTGGCTCTTTTATGACTGGTGGACTTCAACTCCCAAAATTCCTGAGCCAGCCATGCTGAGGGGACAGGGAGAGGTTTCCAAGCTGAGCCAGGCTGGCTCAGGGATTCTGGGAGTTGAAGTCCATGAGTCATAAAAGAGCGAAGGTTGCCTACCCTTATGCTGGGCGTTACTTCCTTTTTGCTAAATTGTTTTAGTTATACTTCTACTGGTTAGGCTAGGCAGTTGTGTTTTTTTTTTCTTTTAAGTGCTGGGATATTAGTGTGTGTTTTGTTTTGAAAATACCACTCCAGGTATTGGAAGCAGCACCATTTTGAGGGAGTGTCCTTGATCCAGGGTGCCCTCCGTGAAGCCTACGGTGCAAATCCTCCTACTTTGACCTCAGCTGCCCTGCGCTGGGTCTACCATCACTCGGAACTGCAGGTCAGGCCAAGCTTTGCCTTCAGAACTGGAGAGAACATTAAAAAATGGGTCTCTGCTGTTTGACTAGGGCAGGGGTAGGCAACCTTGGCTCTTTTATGACTCGTGGACTTCAACTCCCAGAATTCCTCAGCCAGCCAGGCTGGCTGAGGAATTCTGGGAGTTGAAATCCACGACTCATAAAAGGGCCAAGTTTGAAGACTCTTGGGCAAGAGGGTCCACATTGCAAAGATATCTTGTCGATGGTTATCCTGCCTTATGGATGGATCTCATGAACCCTGCAGGTCAGGAAGGCCCACCCTGGCCTCAGCTATGCTGACTCAGGAATTCTGGGAGTTGAAGTCCACGAGTCATAAAAGAGCCAAGGTTGCCTACCCCTGGTCTGTGGAGATTCTCAGTCATCCAAGTCGTGGTTTGTCCCTAAGGTGTTTTTTCAAGAGGCAACAGGACTTCCTTGCTTTTCTTTGAAACAAGGCGCCACTGAGAGGGAGTCGAGATGGCTGGGCCAGGCGTCTCTGAGGCCGAGCCTCACTGTCCTTGTACTCCCCGTGAAGGATGCACAAGGCCACCATGAAGTTAAGCCAGAATGGTGAGGTCAGCTACTCTTTGCCAACTTCAACAGGACAACACATCCCTGGCTGTTGGCAGCGTGTTTCGAAGAAAAAAAAGGGAAGTCCAGTTGCCCCTTGAAAACTCAGCTTTGGGTCCCCGTGGCTGCTAAATCTGGAGGGTCTTTAGAAAGTCTCAGATTCGCTTCACCCCTCATTCTTCTCTGTGGAGTGATGAAGCGACGCCTTCTATTTTCAACCCAAATCCTCCTCCCTTCATGACTTTATTCCGCAAGCAGAAATCGCAATTCAGTCTGGCTGCTCGTGGAGTTTATTCTTCTTTCCTTCTCCAGGATAAATACGGAGACGCTGTGATTATTGGGATGTCCAACATGGACCAGCTGCAGGAGAATCTCCACTCCAGCGAGGAGGGGCCTCTCGTCCCAAGCGTGGTGGAGGCCTTCGAGAAAGCCTGGCACCTTGCCGCCCACGACTGCCCCAACTACTTCCGCTGAAGGCGTGCCAGCGGGCCTCGGTTCTCGGTTAAAATGGAATTAAATGGCGCTCACCGCAGACACGAATCCTAATGTTGAATTATTGGTCCCACAAACTTTAATCGCTTATAAAGACAACGGAATGGGCTGTAAATTCTTTTATACATTTTATAGACATATTCACACACAAATATATATATTCATCCTTTTAAAAAGTCGTATGACAGTCTCCTTAGGTTATTAGTTCAGTCCTCCATTTAAGAAGAGAGCAGGAGTTAATGAAACTCTTAAAAAAAAAAAAGTCTTTAGGCCTTTTTTCTGCCCTAGTTCTCTTCATTACTTTCATCCTCCTCCTTCTCCTCTTCCTCCTTCATTGCTCCTGAACGGTCCCCTGTGGGGGTCTCCAGCTGCTCAAATTCTCCTGTCTCAGCATCCCACACGCTTCTGATCATCACCTTAAACTCTGCCATTGTGTATCCGAAGAGTTTCTGAAAAATAAAAAGAAATAAAAGCACGACACCTCAACCAGGGCACTCAGAACAGGAAAATCAAATCGTCTGCGACAGTCTTAGGTACAGAAAAAATGAGGAAGGCCTTTGAGTTTCAGTAGAAACAGCTCACTGGCTGTCAAGAAAACTAACATAAAGCTTTCAGGATCGATAAACGAGGGAGATGAACTTCTGTAACAAGCGGGAAGAAATATCCAGGTGCTTCTCACGACAAAAGTCCATAATTGGAAGAAAAAAAGGACACTCTGACATTTAAATAACAGTTATCTTTCACCCATGTTAAGTAGAATTTGCACTTGGAGGAGTGTCAAGTCTGGAAAACGTATTTTAAAACTGCCTAAATGCACTGCAACTTAGTCTGGAGGAAACAGGAATGAAAAATAGTTTCCGTTGCAATTCCCAAGTATTGTGGCGCAATGCGGTTGTGTATTTAGGGGGATCTAATGGAAAATGCACCTATGAAAGTATCTATGGAGATTCTCCCTCATCCAGGCCATGGTTGTCCCAAAGGTGCTTTTTGTCAGGACACAACTGGACTTCCTTGTTTTTCCTTTGAAGATGTTTCGCTTCTCATCCAAGAAGCTTCTTCAGCTCTGACTGGATGGTGGGGAGCTTGTTGGATGAGAAGCGAAACGTCTTCAAAGAAAAACAGGAAAGTTCAGTTGCTTCTTGAAAAAGCTCCTTTGGGACAACCATGGCCTGGATGACGGAAAATCTCCATAGACATTGAGCCATGTACTTTGGGATGGACGCCCTTCAAGTGGTGAGAAGAGTATGGACGGATTTCCAGAAAATATGGCAGACTCCAATATTGTGCTTCAGTTTGAGATGCAGACGACAGACTCATCCCCAACAGCCTGTCTTCAACCGTGAACGGACCCAGGGCAGAAAACATCCTGCATCCAAGAAGGCTCCCTACACATTTGCACCGCTCAGGTGACCCTGAGGACACAGGTAAACCTCAAAGTGGCCTCAACGACTCCCCAAAAGGATGCAAATGACCAGCTGTCTGCAAGGAGTATAAATCCTCCAGTCCCCACCGTCCAGTCAGAGCTGAAGAAGCTTCTTGGATGAGAAATGAAATATCTTCAAAGGAAAGCAGGAAAGTCCAGTTGCCTCTTGGAAAAAGCACCTTTGGGACCTACAAAAGCAGGACAGTCACTTACCAAGATCCGAGCTTGTTCTGGGGTCAGGATATCCCCCTCTTTGCAAACCTTGTAATCGGAGATCAGCGTCACCACACCTACAAGGAGAAACAAAAAACAGGAAAATCCCTGAAGGAAGGTTGCCAGAGAAAGGATCTTGCCAATGTTTCTTCAGATTACGTTCCCAACCTTTCTTCAGGGCTGTGGGCAATCCGAGCTGCCTTAGCTGAGGCTCCATGGAATGGGAAAACTGATGCAGGGGTCCCGTATCCAGGTTGACCGTGAAGGTAGCCTTGTTTCCAGCCCGGGCAAAGTCGGTCTCACTGAACTGGGAAAACCAGCTGCAAAGGAAAAGAGAGTTGTGGAGTTGACATTCATGGGGACTAGCAACTCTGTCCTTGCGTCCTTGTTTGGCGTCACCTGGACAGCAATAGGTGAGGAGAGAAAGGTGAAGGCCATTTTTTTTCCAGGAAAAGCTAAAGGGACGGTGAGTGCAGATGGCTAAAACAGGACACAGGACAACTGATTCTACAATTAACCAGCAATACTGCAAAGTGATAATCTCTCTTCTAGGCTGTAGATTTATTTTGCTTCCGAAAGCAGAAAAGGCACAGAATTCAGACATGAGATTTTGCAATTTCCCCTATTTGTCTTGGGGCTAAAAAAGTTATGGGGCAGCCCACAGGCTGGTTAGGAGGGCAAGGATGCCAGGCAAAGCCCTTCTCAAAAAGCTTCCACTGAAAACTTCCAAAATCCCCCCCAAAATTCAGTTTTTTCTTTCCTAGTTGAAATCCTCAGGCATTCTTTTTGGAAAAAACTTACTTTATAACCTCATCCTTGGTGCGATTTGTGAACAGGAGACCGACTTCTCCCCGTAGATGCTTGCTGACCTAAAGGAGAACGAAAAACTAGGTGAAGAAGTAACTTTCCCCAGGTCTTCAGGATTCTGGGACCACCGGTCTTGAAGGGTCTGCCTGACACACACACAGTACAGTAGCCACAGGCAAAAGAGAGAGTTTTTAATATGTGGTGCTTTACCTCATGCAAGTTATCTTTGTATTCATCCGAAGGGCTGTGGCCCAGTGCGACAATCATCACTTTGTTTTTCCCAAAAAATATCCTGGAATTAAAAAAAAAATCTAGTGAAATTTCAAAAGCTCAGGTATTCCTTCAAGGGAGCATTAGCTTCAGTTTCTCCTCAGCGTGTAAAGATCTGAATGGCTATAAGGAACTCTTACAGGTTTCAGAGAATTTAATAGAATACAGGAAGGGGTGTGTGACATGGTTACCCTGGAGGTTTCTTCATTTTTAGAAGCAGGAATGGCAAAGCTATGTGAGGGACACACTCACCTGCTGTGTTTCCAAGCGCTGCGAATATCTTTCAGTTTGTTGTTTCTCATGTTGGCAATGGAGAAAATGAAAAGACGCTTGTAGGTGTCTACACATTTTCGTAGCTAAAGACCAAAAAAGGATTTGGCGGTTGGTTTCGTTTTTGATTTTCGCGCCCCCAATTTTCTATCTTGACGAGGTTTCACAGGACAAAACTTCAGGATTTTCCCACAGAACACTTAGGTGACACTGCTATAGCTAATGACCTTAATTTAATCCTTTCTTATATATAGTGAAATTAACAAATCCTGTAAAATGACCCTTTTAATGAGACTTTTGAAGAAAAAAATAACAGCCCAACAGCTGGCTTACAGTCTTGCTTACCTCTTCTATCAGGTTTTGCTTAACTTCCAAACCTTTCTTGGTGGTTTTTGTTAAGGAGACTGCAAGGAAGAAAGACATGGGCTCAGTATCCAATAGGGAATGTTTTGGAAAACGAGATTGTGGTTTAATTTGGAAATTATACTGGAGTGCAAGGACAATAGAGCACACAGGGAATATAAAAGAAAGGAAGGAAGGGAGGAAGGAAGACAGATGAAGGAGAGAAGAAAGAAGGAGACAGATGGAGAAGGAGACATGAAGGAAGGAAGGAGAGAGACATGAAGGAGGGAAGAAAGGAAAGCGACAGATGAAGGAAAGAAACAAAGGGATGAAGGAAGGAGACAGGAAGGAAGGAAGCTATAGAAACTGAATACATTTTTCAAAGAAGCAGCTGGAATCTCTGTAAGAAACTAGGATACAAACTCCTCCAAATTTGCTACTTGAGTTTAAATAATCTGCATTCTCCATCATGTTGCGAACTAGTGACTTCTCCTATCAGCCCCCAAAGTAATCTCTCTTAGAAAGCTTCGATATAAGATTTGGAGATTCGGGATCAGCTCCAGAGTGGCCACTGGAGGAACCCCCATCTCGACCCAGGAGAAGTCTCCGCAATTAAGGAGGATTAATCCACTCATCAATACCTTCATTCAAGTTTATCCAGGCCACTTTCAAAGTCATGTAAATAATTGGTGGCGAGGAATTTCGCCTTTTTTCCTTCTTTTTTTAAACTGAGCAAGGAAAAAGCGAGCCGAGCAGCTGATGCTGAGGAGTACTACAATCTCCCATCATCCTCAGCCCACGAAACAAACGGGAACCATCACTCGGCACTACCTGGGCGCCAAAGGTTTCTCCACCCTTAGAGGAGAGAAAAGGCTAAAAAAAAAAAAGGCTATCACCATCGTCCTTCTCTTGTTGTTTTGCAACCTGGCCTACCCGGCAGGGTTGTTGTGCAAATAAATAGGGATGAAAGTCCTGCGAAAGCAAAGAGGGTCCCTGCTCCCCCTTGGGGGGAGGGGTCTTTATGGGGGAGGGAGGAAAGAAAAAAAGACCCAAGCCGGGGGTACCGCGCCCCCCACTCACCCCTCTTGTCCCGCTTGGACTTGGGCATCGCGGCCACCCACGTGCAGCTTCCGGCGGCGGCGGTGGGCGGAGCCTCGCGGGCCGACCGGAAGGACTGAGGTTGTCCCTGGCGGCGCCTGATTTTCTGACGGTGAGGAAAAAAAGCCTCACGGGAAAACAGGGTTGCCTACCAGCCTCTTTATAAGATTTCTCAAACGCTGTTTTATTTTATTTCGAGTGTTTATTTCATTTATTTTGCGTTTTGTTTATTTTTTCCCAATCAGGCCATATTCGCCGATGCCTCTCAACTCCTCCTCCCCCCCCCGGTGAGGCCCTTCACTTCTCGGTTGAGGGCCTTCCGCGCGGTGCCTGATGGGAAGACAACTGTAGATCTATGTGTTCCTTTAATTATATATATAGATCATTTTTTCTCCATTTGTTCTTTCGGTTTTTTTTACATTATTCCCGCCTTAGATGTGACACGGAAAGCCAGCTGAGGGACTGGACTAGAGCTAGATTTCCCCTGTGGCCCTGTTTTTTTTATCAAGGTCACTCTACAGCTTTCGTATCTCTATGGGCCGAAAGCCGAAGCTGGAACTCTATCTCCTGACCTCTATGGTCGCGCAGGGCCTGACGGGACGGCGGAGGCTTCTTCCCCTTCCGGCTCCTGTCCCCTCTGGGTCGTCATGGCGGCGCCCGGCCAGCCGCTGCTTATCTTCTCGCTCCTTCTCCTCTCCCGGCCTCTCCCGCCGGCGGGCGCCGTCTACGAGGACCAAGTGGGCAAGTTCGACTGGTGGGTGACCGGCTGCCTTCTCGACCCGTCAGGGTTGGCCTGTGGAACTCCCCGCCACTAGATAAGGGATGCCAGCGCTGCTGTTTGCTTTGGCGGGGGGGGGAGGGGCGAGAGGAAGGCGATTAGTGGAGTTGATGAAACATCCAGACGCGGCGAATCAGGCCTGATTTAGCTCCTGGGGTGAAGGCAGCTGCTTCTCTGAGTTATTGGCCGTAACTAATAAAGGAGAATATTTGTAGCTCAGGGTTGAGATGAAGGTGGTCTCTGAGCTGGGTTTTCTTGCCCAACTAGGGAACAACATCAGTGCCCGAAGGGAGAGGAGGAGGAGGAGGAGGAAAATTGTGGGGTCCTTGGTGCTCTCTGAGCTGGCTTGTTTTCTTGCAGACATTTCATTACCCAACTAGGGAACATCATCAGTGCTAGAAGGGAGTGGAAGGTTTGCAGAGAGGAGGAGATGGGGGGTGGAGGAGGGAGAGAGGAGGAGAAAAGGATTGTGGGGTCCTTGGTGCTCTCTGAGTTTGGTGGTTTTCTTGCAGACGTTCCATGACTGAACTACGTAACATCATCAGTGCTAGGGTTATTTGCCATGCACTAAACAAATCACGGGGCCTTGGGGAGCCTTGCAGGTGTGGGTGTGTAACCTTACAGATATTTAAGATTTTAAGGTGTAAGCCATTCGGAGTTATTCTGTGGTAAGAAGAGCAGCCAATACATTTTACAAATCAATAAATAGAGGGTGAAGGAGGGGGTGGCTGGGCTTATCTACTGTGGCCAGTGGGGGAACTGGGGACGAGAGTTTGCCCCATGGGATCCATGTTTTCTTTTCAGCGCAGAGAATGTTTCACCCAGTTATTTCAGTTTATGACGGCGGGAAGCGTGTGAAAATGTGGTTTTTCTTTGCCTTTGTTGCAGGAGGCAGCAGTACGTGGGGAAGCTCAAATTCGCCTTTTTGGAAGCCTCCCCCGCCTCCAAGAAGCTGATTGTGGCCACTGAGGAGAACGTGGTGGCTGCTCTGAACTCCCGCAGTGGTGAAATCCGTGCGTGTCTTTTGGGGGTCCCTGCCTAGAGCGCATCCTGGGGAGCGAAAGGGCCTCCTTTCTCTTGCAGAGGATCAGGCCCTCCTCCAAATGGGAAGACCTCTGCCTCGGGAGTGGGGGCAGGGCCTTTGTCTGATTTCTTTTTTTTTTTTTTCTCCCAGTGTGGCGACATGTGGACAAAGGGACTCCCGAAGGGGCAGTGGATGCCATGCTGATCCACGGCCAAGGTGAGGAAGGGGACGGCGTCCTGGTAGCCATTTCTCATTTGCTTGCGCTCTTTCTGCAGGTGGGCAGCACAAGGAGTCCACCATAACTGAGCCAGAATTTTCTGTGGCTAAGCGAGACAGCTGTTAAGCAAATCTGGATTCCCAGGTTGATTTTGTTTGTCAGAAGGTCGTAAAAGCGGATCACGTGACACACAGACACACACACACACACACACCTGGGACACTGCAACCATCATAAGTACAAGCCAGTTGCCAAACGTCTGAATTTTGATCAGGCGACCATTGGGGGATGCTGCAACGGTCGTAAGTGAAAAACTGTCATGTCCCTTTTTTCAGTGCCGTTGTAACTTCGAAAAGATCACTAAATGAATGGTTGTAGTGTTGTTTCTCGATGTTTGGGGGTTTAGCCTACAAGTTGAAAAATATCTCTGAAAGACCAATGTAGCATTTGGAAAATCCGGTGGGAGAAGGTTTGACATGGCCTGTCGCAGAGTTGAATTTTCTGCGCCTGTTTTCTGTATCTCTTCCTCCTCCTGTCCCGGCCACTTTTTACACAGGCAGGATTGGGAGCGTTTTAGCAAACGGCATCACTGTTGGGCCCGGTGGCAGCAGAGCCTCAGACAGACGGTCCACACAGAGAGTGGTGAGGACAGCCGAGAAGATTGCAGGAAGCTCGCTTCCGTTATTCAGGACGCTGCTTACAAGCGCTCCTGGGTGCTTAGAGCTCCGAGCATAGTTAGAGACCCCCCACCCCCACTTCACGGCCTGTTCCTGTCGCTCCCCTCCGGGAGGAGGTTTCCGAGTATTTCCAGCAGGACTACACGATTCTGTCACAGCTTTGCTCCCTAGTATGCCGTCCGTTTGGTAAACTCACAAGTTGCGTTTTTGTTGCCATGTACATGTATACATCTGAACTAGGCTGTGTTGTTTCTCTGGGTCTGTAGGTATATGCATAATTCTATATTTTTGTCATATTGGAGGTGGTGCCCTTTTGAGAGCTGTGTGCAACAAAATTTCATTTTAATGTATACCGATTAGTGTACATTCAAAGTGAGAAAGTTATTATTCTGTTCTGCTCTGCTCTATTCTATTCTATAATCTGTCTATTCTTTCCATATTCTCTTCTATTTCTATTCTATTCTATTCTATTTTCAATTTCATTCCAATCTCTCTTCATTCTATTCTATTCAATTCCACTCCACTCTACTCCATTCCATCTTCTACTCTATTCTATTTCCTTTCTATTCCATTCCATTCCATCTTCTATTCTGTTCTATTCTATTTCCTATTCTATTCTATTCTATTCTATTCTATTCTATTCTATTCTATTCTATTCTATTCTATTCCTATTAATTTCTATTCCAGATGCCATCACGGTTTCCAATGGGGGTCGCATCCTGCGCTCTTGGGAGACAAATATTGGTGGCCTGAATTGGGAGGTTTTGATGGATGCTGGCAGGTGAGTCTTTTTAGAAAGAGTAATTTAAATAATGAGTAAAGAAACCCGTCTTTTAAAATTAAATTCTTTCAACTAAACTCAGCTTTCAGATGGCTAGTTTGGTGGGACTCCAAGACGCTGTGAAGTATGTGGCCATTTTGAAGAAAAGTTCCATCCTCCTGCATTATCTCTCCAACGGTTACCAAAAATGGCTGGAACATTTGCCGGAAAGGTGGGTCGATTTGGTGACTCTTAAGAAACAGCCTCTTAATCCCCCTAACTCTAACCCTACTCATTTTTGTAAGCCAGAAAAAAAAAACCCAGCTCTATTCTATTCTATTCTATTCTATTCTATTCTATTCTATTCTATTCTATTCTATTCTATTCTATTCTATTCTATTCTATATTCTATTCTATTCTATATTCTATTCTATATTCTATATTCTATTCTATTCTATATTCTATTCTATATTCTATTCTATTCTATATTCTATTCTATATTCTATTCTATTTTATTCTATATTCGATTCTATTCTATTCTAAATTCAATTCTATTCTATTCTATTCTACATTCTATTCTACATTCTATTCTATATTCTATTCTATTCTATATTCTATTCTATTCTGTTCTATATTCTATTCTATTCTATTCTATATTCTATTCTATTTTATTCTATATTCTATTCTATTCTATTCTATATTCTATTCTATTCTAAATTCTATTCTATTCTACATTCTATTCTATATTCTATTCAATATTCTATTCTATATTCTATTCTATTCTATTCTACTCTATAGTCTATTCTATATTCTATTCTATATTCTATTCTATATTCTATTCTATTCTACTATTCTATTCTATTTTACATTCTATTCTATGTTCTATTCTATTCTATTCTATTCTATATTCTATTCTGTATTCTATTCTATTCTGTTCTATATTCCTATTCTATTCTATTCTATATTCTATTCTATATTCTATTCTATAGTCTATTCTATTCTATATTCTATTCTATATTCTGTTCTATATTCTATTCTATTCTATATTCTATTCTATATTCTTTTCTATTCTCTATTCTATTCTCTATTCTCTATTCTATTCTACTCTATATTCTGTTCTATTCTATTCTATATTCTATTCTATATTCTGTTCTATTCTATATTTCTATTCTATTCTATTCTATTCTAACTATATAGATATTTATTTAAATATATAGATATAAATATATATTCTAGTCTAAATATATTCTTCGGCTTAGTTTTTCTTAGCAACAGGCAATAGATTGTCCTTGTTTAGCAACTGCCTCATGGAGCAACTGTTTACAGTTTACAACAGCGATGGAGAAAAAAACTTTACAAACATTTATAACCTTTGCGGGTCTGTTAAGGCAGGGGTCCCCCAACCTTCGCCACTTTATGACATGTGGACTTCAATTCCCAGAATTCCTCAGCTAGCAATGCTGGCTGAGGAATTCTGGGAGTTGAAGTTCATAAGTCATAAAGTGGTCAAGGTTGGGGAGCCCTGTGTTAAGGCAAAGGAAAGCTGACTTAAGACAGTTACCATTTCAGTTAGTGACAACCGAATGACTAGTCCCAATTGCAGTCCCTAAACAAGGACTGCCTGAAATACTGATTGAAAAGAAGCCACCTTAAGTGTCGTCTCTGATTCTCTGTATTTTATTTCAGTCCTTAAGAATGATTTCGTTTTGACCCAGAAATTTCAGGAGTTCAGCACCTCTGAGAAACATGGCTTAAAACTGACAATCCTGGCTAGGCTAATTCACCTCTGCTTTTCCTTATCAGCGAGACTGTCCAGTATCAGTTGGTATATTCCCACGGAACAGGCATGGTGCACGTTGTCGGGATATCTCCGCAAAGCCACCTCAGCGTCCTGACTTTCAGCATTGAGGATGGTGAAATGACGAGACAGGTGAAGCCGGAATTTGACTTCTGATGACATTTCCTTTCCGAGGCTGGCTGGGGGAAAGAGAGAGAAGGGGAGGCGGTAAATCTCACAAAAACGTTTTCTCTTAGGGTAAAACTACCACAACGTCAATATTTTGAGTGCGCCTGTGCGCCTTTTGAGCGAGCAGTTAATTTTCTCCCATGTGGATTTGGCGTTGCTGGCCCAAGATTCATTCCAGCTGGACTGGGTGGCTGGGATAAGGAATGAGTGCGTCTCTTTGCTTCCTGTAGATCAGGGTGGCAGCTCCCTGGCTGAGGAATCTGGTTGGGACTTGCAATGTCGTGGAAAAAGCTACGCTCGTGTGTGTGAACCCAGCCACCCAGTCCCTTTACACGTTGTCTCTGGAGGCAGAGGAGGAGATGAAGGAGGTTCCACTGCAGGTGAGGGGTCCAGAAACAGGTTGGCAGTTCTTCTGAGTCCCTTTGCACAGGTCTTGTGTAATCTCTGGGGTGGAGCAAGGAGCTGGACCTGGATTCTGGGACGGAGCAATCCATTTGGGGGTCTAGGGAGGCTGTTCCTGTCAAATGTGGCCAGCCCAGTTGTAAAGTGTCCAGGTATTCACTTCCTATGTAGCTCACTTGGCTGATAGGCCTGCTGTAAGGACCCGCCCCACTTTGCATCTTAAGAAGACCGAACTCTTGGAATAGTTCTTCCAACAGGCATCCTTTATTAAGAGAAAATGGTCGCAGGCGTTCTAGACAGGACTTGGGGTCCAAGCTCTCCCATTCGAGGTTTTAAGGGGTTCCCCAGCAGTCCCACCCCATCACCCTCTTCTTCCAGCGACAGTCTCAGACATTACACTCCCACCCCCTTTTCCTTACTGCCGGCTGGATGGAGACTTCAGAGAGGAGTATATGAAAGGTAATAGCCCCATTCTTATGGTTAGCTCTTTTAGCAATACACACAATCAGTTCCTTTGAAGTGTACGGAAGGAAGTGAGGGCCAGAAAGCCCCTTTGTTCACCCCCTTCCCTTCATCGGATGACAGAATCCAGAGAAGGCAGAAATGGGGTTTTCTATAGTTGATAACTAGAGATGAAATATAATTGGATTCTGACACCTGCTCTCTTTTTTTTCCCCCTTTCTGCAGTCTCTCGGCCTGGAATTTGCGGACCTTTCCGAGGCCCGCATCCTGTCCTCCCAGCCAAACCCAGCCAGAGCTCCCCGGCCTCAGTTCTTCCTGCGTTTGTCGCCCACCCACTTTGCTCTCTTGCAATATCGGCATGGCGTCTTGAGCCTCCTTCGGAATTTCCCACAGGTGAGGAAAGGGGGGGGCTCTTGATCTCCTGAGGTTGGCCTCCCTCCACCCTCCGTCCCCCGTCGAGGAACCCTTGGCGGGGAGTGAGACTCCGGCGGCCTCCGGGCTCTTAACAGCAGCGTTTCTCAACCCCGATCACTTTAAAACACGTGGACTTCGACTCCCAGAATTCCTGAGAACGGTGAGGGTTGTGGGAAGTGACCCGTGATGCCCTATTGGATCTCTCGCCGTCTCTCTCCCCCTTGTGTCCAGGCCAGCCTTGCGACTTTTGCGACTACCGGTGAGAAGACTGTGGTGGCCGTCCTCGCCTGCAAGGGTGAAGGGGTAAATATACATCATTGCTTGAAATGGGTGGCTTTTTTTTTTTTTACAACAGCTCTGTAAGGGAGGCCTCTGTCATCTCTATGTTGCGGCAGGAAGGCTACGAATCGAGGCCCTTGGTGAATTTGGGGTGCAAATCTCCCTAAGGTCCTCAAAGGTGCTTTTTTCAAGAGGCAACTGGACTTTCTTGTGTTTCTTTGAAGACGTTTCGCTTCTCACCCAGGAAGCTTCCTCAGCTCTGACTGGATGATGGGGAAAGGAAGGATTTATACTCCTTGCAGACAGCTGGTCCTTTGCCTTCTTTTAGAGCAGTGGTTCTCAGCCTTTTTAATGCGGCGACCCCCAACCGGTCGTAAGTCGAGGACTACTCAACTGGTGCAGCACCGTTTGCAGAATGGCGGGCTCAGCAGGGCAGAGACAGCCTAGACAATTCCTATTGGCTTTTGAAAGCCAATAGGATTAGACTCTATTCAAGAGAGTCGATTGTATTGGCTTTCAAAAGCCAATAGAATAAAAGGGAGGAGCACAGCTAAGGAAAAAGGGGGAAAAAATGGCGGACTGTGTTGTTTGGCGACCCCCGTGAAATGGTCGTTCGACCCCAAATGGGGTCCCGACCCACAGGTTGAGAACCACTGCTCTTGAGGGTCATTGAGGCCACTTGGAGGTTTATCTGTGTCCTCAGGGTCAGCTGAGTAGTGCAAATAGAGCTGCTGAAAGGACTGTGTGGTAGACTGGAGATAGATGATGTTGTGTCCCTCCCCCTCTGTTGAGAGAGGGCTGTTCAGTTTTGACCCAGATGGCCTCTTTGACCCCTCTTTCAAACCAGACATCCGCTCTGTCCAAAATGTGGACTTTGCTGTCTTCAAGAGAGTGGCCTTGGTCCCTTAAATGCAGATGGACTGCTGACTCTCGTCCTGGTGGGTTTGTTCTCCTATGTTGTGTTTAAAAGACAAAGCCATATCAGTCCTTCCCTTCCCCACCATCCAGTCAGAGCTGAAGAAGCTTCTTGGTGGAGAAGGGAAACATCTTCAGAGAAAAACAAGAACGTCCAGTGGCCTCTTGAAAAAGCACCTTTGGGATAACGGTGACCTGGATGACTGAGCATCTCCAGGGACAAAACTCCCGAATAATCTCCAGCCCCCAACTTTTTTTTTTAAATGAAGCCCCTACGTAGATAAACATTTCCTGTCTCTCCACAGTTCTCGGCTGTGCTAGAAGATTCTATGTTAAAAGGGCAGGAGATAGAACAGGGGTCTTCAAGCGTGGCCCTTTGACGACTTGTGGACTTCAACTCCCAGAATTCCTCAGCCAGCGTGCAACGCTGGCTGAGGAATTCTGGGAGTTGAAGTCCACAAGTCGTCAAAGGGCCACGTTTGAAGACCCCTGAGATAGAACGTATGAGGCCACCAAAACAGGGTCTCAAACCACAGTTTGGAATGAACTCACAGAACTGGGGTTAAATGGTGGCTTGTTCCCCCCTCTGATTTTGAAACACTTCCAGATCCTGCTTTGCCTGGATAAGTCTGAGGCTCCCTGAAACGGGTGCTTGCTTTGAATCCGAAGCGTGCTGTTAAATTTCGCTCCCTTGCCAGTTCCTCGTAAGAAGCTGAAGGCCCTTTTGCTGCCTTCATTCTCTCCCTGCAGGAAAGCCCCTCTTGCCCCGCCCAGTCCTACACCATCAACTTGTACCTGGCTGAAACCGGACAGAGGCTTCTGGACACCCTCATCACCTTCACTCTGGAGAAAAGCAGCACCCGGCCTGAGCGGGTAATGGTCCTTTGGATTGGCCGGGTTTGTTCCCAGGGGACTTCAGCCCACAGCCGTCCCTCGGCGAGGGCATTTCTCACGTGCTTTAGAATCCGAACGTCCCCGCTGTGTTTTTTGACTCACATATCCTGTCAAAGATGCTAATATTGGATATTTTTGCTTTGACAAAATATGCAGAACTGTCTGGTATTTTTAGAGTTATCTTAGATCAGTGATGGCGAACCTTTTAGAGACCGAGTGCCCAAACTGCAACCCAAAACCCACTTATGCATTGTTGGGTGCCAGGTGGGTGTGGCCCATTGGGTGGGCGTGGCCCATTGGGTGGGCGTGGCTGCGGTGGTAACAGCAGACTGGGTAGGACTAAAAAGTTCAATCAATTCCAACTTTGCAAGATCTTTTTTTTTCCCACGAGAAGTTGAAATTGACTGATTGATTGAACCTTTTTTTTTTTGTACACGGCGGCGGAGGCCTAAAGCAAAAAGGTTTTATAAAACCCAGCTGAAGGCCTAGGTTGGGGCGACGGTGCGCGTGCCCACAGAGAGGGCTCTGCATGCCGCCTCTGGCACCCATGACATAGGTTCGCCACCACTGTCTTAGATGATGCTGGGAGGGGAGGAGAAAGAATGTGTGTAGGGAGTAATTAAGATAAGGAATAGGGCAGAACAATCGGGCTGATTGGAGAATGTGATTTATGGCAGCAAAATAAGGGAGGGAAAATGCTAGCAAAATAACTGCTCAGAGGAGGAGATTTCAGATCTTGGCATCCCATTCATGGCGTGCCGACATTCTGTTACATGAATAAAGACTTTTTAGGATAAACAATGCCTGGAAGTTCTTTGAAGTGTTTCATTAGTTGGAACCTTGACACATCCCTTGCCAAGTCCCAAAGGGGCTTTTTGCAGGAGGCCACCGGACTTTCTTGTTTTCCCTTTGAAGATGTTTCGCTTCTCATCCAAGAAGCTTCTTCAGCTCTGACCGGATGGTGGGGAACGGGAGGATTTATACTCCTTGCAGACAGCTGGTCACTTGCCTTCTTTTAGAGGGCCGTTGAGGCCACTTGTAGGTTTATCTGTGTCCTCAGGGTCACCTGAGTAGTGCAAATGGGTCTGTGAGCTGCTGAAAGGAAGAAGGCTCCACACCCTTTTGCACCAGTCAAGTGACTCTGAGGACACAGACAAACCTCCAGGTGACCTCAATGACCCTCTAAAAGGATGCAAATGACCAGCTGTCTGCAAGGAGGATAAATCTTTCCACTCCCCACTGTCCGATCAGAGCTAAAGATGCTTCTGAGAGGAGAAGGGAAAGGTCTTCAAAGAAAAACAGGAAAGTCCAGCTGCCTTCTGAAAAAGCATCTTTGGGACAACCCTGACCTGGGAGATGGAGAATCTCCATAGCATCCCTTGCCAAGGATTCTGCTTTGAGAGCGCCCTTTTCTATCGCTCATCCACATGTTCCCTCTGCAGCTCTTCATTCAGGTCTTCTTGAAGAAGGACGACTCGGTGGGCTACCGTGCCTTGGTGCAAACAGGGGACCACCTCCTCCTCTTCCTGCAACTGCCAGGTACCCCTCCAAGGGCAGAGTTGTGCGCCTCCCTTCCTGGCTCCTCTTCCTGGGGCCGAAGCTGGACCAGAAGCTTCGCAGCCATTCCTCCTCCTCGCTTGCTGGGCACAGGGAGAGTCCGTCAATGGCCGGAAGAAAAGAGCTTTTTTTTCTCTCTCACCTGATCTCACTCTGGGCAGGAAAAATTTGGTGGAGCCGGGAAGAATCTCTGGCCGAGGTGGTTAGCCTGGAGATGGTCGATCTGCCCTTGACGGGGGCCCAGGCAGAGCTGGAAGGCGAATTCGGGAAGAAAGCCGGTAAGGAGTGATGCCGTGGGGGGGGGGGAGAGGGAATTATTTTGCCCAGTACTCAACTTGCAAAAGAAGCCTAGTATTCATATTTTCCTAAAGAAGCTCCAAGGTCTGTTCTGCCGATTGAAATTGGACCTGGGTTGTGCCCCCGTTTGTTCAGGAGATACGAGGACATCCTGGGAGACAAGAATCCCCAGATCTGGTTTTGGCCGTGTGTGTGATGGGTGCTGCTATGTTCAGATTTGTTTGTTTGTTTTTCCACCCCTCCAAAGACTAAACGTTGAATTGTTCCCTGGTTTGTGTTTCCTTTTCTTGCTGCCTTGGATATCAGCCATTCAAGGTAACCCTGAATGTTCAACGTCCCATTTTGCTCAAGTTGTGTGCGAGGGAGGGGGAGGCAGCCTGCTCTCTGGGGGCTGCTTCTGATTTTGGAACGGGGTCTCACGGGGGGTGTGGATACCTGTGCCCAGAAGCCTGGCAATACATCTTCCGGCTCACCTGTGGCGAGTGTCACAGGTTCCGACTAATGAAGCACTTCAAAGAACTTTCAGGCATGTTTCCTAAAGTCTTTATTAGAGCTACAATTTTGCCGGTCACCATGATGGACGGGTTGATGCCAGAATCTGACTTCCTTTCGCTGGCATCAAGCTTTTCTTGCTAAACCCCTCCCTTCTCATGCAGTCACAGGTCACATTATCCAATTAGTGTGAAGGTCAAAAGTTTACTTCCTCTTTCTTTCCTGGGCTTTTTCCCCCCCCCCCACTCTAAGCAAGTATTAACCCAATAAATACCAGACAGTTTTGCATATTGTCAAAGCAAGAATATACAGTATTTGCAGCATTGACAGCGAGATTCTTTCTTTCCTTCCTTCCTTCCTTCCTTCCTTCCTTCCTTCCTTCCTTCCTTCCTTCCTTCCTTCCTTCCTTCCTTCCTTTCCTTCCCACTTCCCTTCCCCTTTCTTTCTTTCTTTCTTTCTTTCTTTCTTTCTTTCTTTCTTTCTTTCTTTCTTTCTTTTCATACTGAATTCTCTCTCTTTTTTTATGCTGCCTTGTGGCCTGCACTGCTTTCCTTCCTTCCCACTTCCCTTTCTTTCTTTCTTTCTTTCTTTCTTTCTTTCTTTCTTTCTTTCTTTCTTTTTTCTTTCTTTCCTTCCTTCCTTTCCTTCCCACTTCCCTTCCCCTCTCTTTCTTTCTTTCTTTCTTTCTTTCTTTCTTTCTTTCTTTCTTTCTTTCTTTCTTTCTTTCTTTCTTCTCATACTGAAGTCTCTCTCTCTCTCTTTTTTTTATGCCTGCCTTGTGGCCTGTATTTCTTTCCTTCCTTCCTTCCTTCCTTCCTCCCTTCCCACTTCCCTTTTTTTCCTTCTTTCCTTCCTTTCCTTCCCACTTCCCTTTCTTTCTTTCTTTCTTTCTTTCTTTCTTTCTTTCTTTCTTTCTTTCTTTCTTTCTTTCTTTCTTTCTTTCTTTCTTTTTCTTTCCTTCCTTCCTTCCTTCCCACCTTCTTTCTTTCTTTCTTTCTTTCTTTCTTTCTTTCTTTCTTTCTTTCTTTCTTTCTTTCTTTCTTTCTTTCTTTCTTTCTTTCTTTCTTTCTTTCCAGGCCTTCCCGCAAAACACATTTCAGGGCTGAGCTTAAATTTTGCCAGAAAGCTTTTTTCCCCCCTGGGGACCTGCAGGGAGGGTGTATTTTGCTCGGAGCCCTTTCCTTAATCGTGGTTCTCTGTGCCTGCTTCCCCCCCCTCCCCCCCAGATGGCCTCCTGGGCATGTTCTTCAAGCGCCTGTCCTCTCAGCTTATCCTGCTCCACGCCTGGACCGCTCATCTCTGGAAGATGTTCTACGATGCCCGAAAGCCCCGGAGCCAGACGAAGAATGAGATCAACATTGACAATTTAGCCCGGGACGAATTCAACCTTCAGAAGATGATCGTGGTTGTCACGGCCTCGGGAAAGGTGAGGAAAGGAGGTGTGATGGTTCCGGCTAATGAAACACTTCAAAGAACTTCCAGGCATTGATTTTCCTAGAAGTCTTTTATTGTTACAAAATGTGGGCACAGGCATAACGGAGGATGCTAAGATCTAAGTTCTCTTCCTCTGAGCAGTTAAATTATCAGCATGTTCCGTCCCTAAATTAGCCGTCATATATCACATTATCCAGTTAGTGTGAAGGTCAAAGGTTTCCTTCCTCGTTCTTTCCCGGGCTTTACCCCCACCCCCCTTCTGCTCTGTATTAACCCCAAAAATACCAGACAGTTCTGCATATTGTCAAAGCAAGAATATACAATATTTGCAGCGTTGACAGGAGGGCTGTCTGGGCCAAGGGACTCCTGGAGACACGAACTCCAGTGTTAACTTTACTTAGGCAATAAACAATCCGGTAGGTTTGAAGGAAAGCTGGCTCCGAAGCAATGGTGGGGAGCAGATCATTAAAAGAGTCAAACTCTCACGTGGCCCAATACATCTTCTAGTAATTGTTATGGGGAGAAACCTTAGCTCAGGGGTCTTCAAACCTGGCCACTTTAAGACGGGTGGACTTCAACTCCCAGAATTCCTCAGCCAGCATTGCTAGCTGAGGAATTCTGGGAGTTGAAGTCCACCCGTCTTAAAGTGGCCAAGTTTGAAGACCCCTGCTTTAACTGGCCAAGACAACACTTCGGCTCTCACAGTGATAAGGAGCCCCTGTGGATTCGAACGGGTTCCCCTCTCCCCCTCCCGCACTCTTGGCAAGTTAGAAGCAGGCAGCCGTCCTAAAGACAGGAGGCCTCTCGGCTTGATGGGGTCGTGGAAGGGCCCCAGCAGCAGGGCGGCCCCCTTCCACTTGTCTTCAGAACCTGGTAGAGTGCTCCTGCGAGTGGAGGTGCCATTCCACAGGCAGATGGTGAGAGAGAACGGAAATCGACGGATTTGCAAAGTCTTCGCTTTGTGGCGAAACGGCCTCACACGTCCCGTTGCCAGGAGAGGAAAGCTTCAACCCATCAGACAGGATGGGCTGGTTCAGCGTCAGGGGGGCTTCGTGGTTCCCACGCAGCTCTCCTCCTCCTCTTCCTCTTTCCTCCTCTTTTCTCCTCTTCCTCTTCGCTCCTCCTCTTTCCTCCTCCTTCTCCTCCTCCTCCTCTTCCCTCCTCTTTCCTCCTCCTCCTCCTCCTCCTCTTCCTCCTCTTTCCTTCTCCTTCTCCTCCTCCTCTTCCTCTTTCCTCCTCCTTCTCCTCCTCCTTCTCTTCCTCCTCTTTCCTTCTCCTCCTCCTCTTCCCTCCTCCTCTTCCTCTTTCCTCCTCCTCCTTCTCCTCTTCCTCCTCTTTCCTTCTCCTCCTCTTCCCTCCTCCTCCTTCTCCTCTTCCTCCTCTTTCCTTCTCCTCCTCTTCCCTCCTCCTCTTCCTCTTTCCTCCTCCTACTTCTCCTCCTCTTCCCTCTTCCTCTTCCCTTCTCTTTCCTCCTCCTCTTTCCTCCTCCTCCTCCTCTTCCTCCTCTTTCCTTCTCCTCCTCTTCCCTCTTCCCTCCTCCTCTTCCTCTTTCCTCCTCTTCCCTCCTCCTCTTCCCTTCTCCTTTCCTCCTCCTCTTTCCTCCTCCTCCTTCTCCTCTTCCTCCTCTTTCCTTCTCCTCCTCTTCCCTCCTCCTCTTCCTCCTCCTACTTCTCCTCCTCCTCTTCCCTCCTCCTCTTCCCTTCTCTTTCCTCCTCCTCTTTCCTCCTCCTCCTCCTTCTCCTCTTCCTCCTCTTCCCTCCTCTTCCTCTTTCCTCCTCCTCCTCCTCTTTCCTCTTCCTCTTTCCTCCTCCTCCTCCTCCTCTTTCCTCCTCCTCCTCCTCTTTCCTCCTGAAGCTTTTCAATACCCAGAGTGCCTCCCAAGGGCAGCTACATTTGAAGATTTTTTTCCTTTTCCAGCTCTTTGGAATAGAGAGCAGCTCGGGGACGATCCTATGGAAGCAGTTCCTCCAGGACGTGCGTCCCGGCTCTTCGTTCAAGCTGATGGTCCAAAGGACGACGGCGCATTTTCCCCATCCTCCACAATGCACCCTGTTGGTCAAGGACAAGGTGGGTGCCGCCCCTCGTGAGACCCTCCCGTCTTCTCTCCAGAGGAGAAGAGGAAAGGGACCAGTGGGGGGGGGGAGAGAGAGAGAAAGCCGCCGGTCCTTGGGGAGGAATGAAGGGGAAGCAGCCTTCTTTCATCCACCTCAGGTCCAGAGACCCCGGGGGGGGGGGGCATGATGTTGCCACAAGGGGTCCGCAAAAGCTTGAAAAAAATGTGATTTAAATTTGAAGTCTTGGGGGCCTGTGGCCACAAAAGATATTGGGAAGAGCTGTGGTGGCCCAGTGGTTAGAAGGCAGTACTGCAGGCTAATTCTGCCTGCAGTTCGATCCTGACCGGCTCAAGGTTGACTCAGCCTTCTGTCCTTCTGAGGTCAGCGAAATGATGTAGGTTGTTGGGGGGGGGAAGAGGCTGACCCTGTAAACCACTCAAGAGAGGGCTGTAAAGCACTGTGAAGTGGTATATAAGTCTAAGTGCTATTGGGAAGGAAAGGAAAGGAAAGGAAAGGAGAGGAAAGGAAAGGAAGAAAGGAAAGGGAAGGGAAGGGAAGGAAGGCTGGCGCAGTAGTTAGAAGGCAGTACTGCAGGCTGATTCTCCTGACTGCCGGCTGCCAGTAGTTCGGCAGTTCGATCCCGACCAGCTTGAGGTTGACGCAGCCTTCCATCCTTCCGAAGTCGGCAAAATGGGGACCCAGGTTGTTGGGGGACCCTGTAAACTCCTTAGGTGGGACTGTAAAGCACTGGCTGTAAGTTGAGAGAGGGGTGCAGCCCCCCCCACTCAACCCCCCCCCTGCCTGCTGCCTCTCAGGACTCGGGCCTCAGCAAGCTCTATGTTTTCAACCCCATCTTCGGCAAGTGGAGCCAGGTGGCCCCCCCGGCGCTGAGCCGCCCCATCCTCCAGTCTGTCCTGCTTCCCATCATGGATCAGGATTATGCCAAAGTGCTGCTTCTGATTGACGACGAGTACAAGGTGCCGAGGGAGGAGATGAGCGGGTGGGGTGGGTGGGTGGGCGGGCGTCCTGCCTGCCGGAATGCGCTGGAAAGGCCTTGCCTGTTCGCTTCCCCTTCCCTCCCTCCGGCAGGTGACCATCTTCCCAGCAAGCAAGAACGTCCTGCGGCAGCTGGAAGACACGGCCCCGTCCGTCACCTTCTACCTGGCAGATGCCCAGCGGGGGAAGCTGATGGGACGGAGGCTGCGAAGGGTACGGCTCCTGGATTCCTAAGCGCGGTGTGTGTGTCTGTGTGTGTGTGAGAGAGAGAGAGAGAGAGGGGGGGGGAGAGAGAGAGAGAAGAGAGGGGAGAGAGGGGAGAGAGGGAGAAAGAGAGACAGACAGGGGAGAGAGAGGAGAGAGAGAAGAGAGGGGAGAGAAAGAGAGAGAAGAGAGGGGAGAGAGAGAGAAAAGAGAGACAGACAGAGAGGGGAGAGAAAGAGGGGAGAGAGAGAAGAGAGAGAAAGAGGGGAGAGAGAGAAGAGAGGAGAGAGAGAAGAGAGTGGAGAGAAAGAGAGAGAAGAGGGGGAGAGAGAGAAGAGAGACAGACTGAGAGGGGAGAGAGAGAAGAGAGAAAGGGGAAAGAGGAGAGAGAAGAGAGACAAACAGGGAAGAGAGAAGAGAGAAAGGGGAGAGAGAGAAGAGAGACGGGAGAGAGAGAGGAGAGAGAAGAGAGGGGAGAGAAAGAGAGAGGAGAGGGGAGAGAGAGAGAAGAGAGACAGACAGAGAGGGGAGAGAGAGAAGAGAGAGAAAGGGGAGAGGGGAGAGAGAGAAGAGAGAGACAGAGGGGAGAGAGAGAAGAGAGATAGACGGGAGAGAGAGAAGAGAGAGGAGAGAAAGAGGGGAGAGAGAGAGAAGAGAGGGGAGAGAGAGAGAAGAGAGACATACAGAGGGGAGGGAGAGAAGAGAGAAAGGGGAGAGAAGAGAGAGGGGAGAGAGAAGAGAGACAGAGGGGAGAGAGAGAGGAGAGAGAGAAGAGAGGGGAGAGAAAGAGAGAAGACAGACAGACTGAGAGAGGGGAGAGAGAGAAGAGAGACAGACAGAGAGGAGAGAGAGAAGAGAGAGAGGAGAGAGAGAAGAGAGGGGAGAGAGAGAAGAGAGAGAGAAAGAGGAGAGAGAGAGAAAGAGGAGAGAGAGAGAAGAGAGAGAGAGAGGAGAGAGAGAAGAGAGAGGAGAGAGAGAGAAGAGAAAGACTGAGAGAGAGAGAGAAGAGAGAAAGAGGGGAGAGAGAGAGAGAGGGAGAGGGAGAGAAATCAGTGAATTGGAAAGGGGAGGGGGGCAGTAAGTTTTTTGAAATAATGGAAAACACTTGTAACTCCAGTGTTAGACTTTGGCTGTGGTTTGTTCTCCAAGCTTGTTTCCATAGAATTCCTGAACGTTTCATTACCAGACTAGGTAACGTTATCAGCAGGATGTTCTTGTCCTGTTCCCCTTCGCTTATAAATGTCTTCTGTGCCAGTAAGTTTTTTTTATTTTTCAAATGAAGGGAAATTTTCCTGGATGACCTGCTCCTTTGTTCTGACTGGACTTTCAAGCGTCCATCTGTCCCTCCGTCCGTCCATTTATACATGCGTGCATGCTAGTCAGCTAGTGTGTGGCATAGAATACATTTGTTTATTTATTTATTTTAGCTAGTTAGCTGGCATGTGGGGTAGAATACGCAGATAAAGTAGTAAAGATGGAGCACTTAATACTGTTGTATAATGGAAATACGTAGTCGATACTGCAAGGTAGGAGGAATTCAAGGCGTTAGGTTGCAGGTTCCATTTTGAAACACCTCGGTTCGTGAGAGAGGAACAAGCGTTTAATACAGGGGTAGGCAACCTTGGCTCTTTTATGACTCGTGGACTTCAACTCCCAGAATTCCTGAGCCAACATGGCTAGCTCGGGAATTCTGGGAGTCGAAGTCCATGAGTCATAAAAGAGCCAAGGTTGCCTACCCCTGGTTTAATATATCAATATCTTTAGGCCATTTAATCGCTTCCCCTAAGTCGGCGGAGGTCACTGCCGGCCTTTCTGGGTCCGTCTCCTTTCAGCCTGAGCCTCTGGGAGAATTGGGGGGGGAGAGTGGCCAGTTCTGGACCAGCCTTTGACCACGCTGGTTCTTCCCCCCCACCTTCCCCCACCCTCCAGGATCTGACCACGGAAGAGACCTGGGACGTCACCATCCCTCCTGAGCTGCAGCGCATCGTGACGGTGAAAGGGAAGCGGGCCAACGAACACGTCCACTCTCAAGGCCGGGTGATGGGCGACCGCAGTGTCCTGTACAAGGTGAGGGGGAGAAAGCCAGCTCCCTTCTCCTCCTTCTCCTCTCCTCCTTTCCTCCTTCTCCTTCTCTCTTCTCTCCTCTCCTCTCCTTCTCTCCTCTCCTCCTCCTTTTTCTCCTCTCATCTCCTGTTCCTTTCCTCTTTCCCCTTCTCCTTCTCTCCTCTCCTCCTCTTCCCCTCCTTTTCCTCCTTCTCCTTTGCTATCTCCTTCTCTCCTCCTTCTCCTTTCCTATCTCCTTCTCCCCTCTCCTCTCCTCCTCCTTTTCCTCCTTCTCCCCTCCTCCTCTCTTCCTCCTTTCCTTTTCCCCCCTCTCCTTCTCCTTTCCTCTCTCCTCTTCTCCTCTCCTCCACCTCTCTCCACTTCTTCCTCTCCTCCTCTCCTTCTCCTCCTTCCCTCCCCCACTCTGTGCAGGGCCCCTGAGCCTTTTGCATAAGGAAGCCTGGGGGTCTTGTATTCCCCCCTCGCAGTCACTGAACCCCAATCTGCTGGCCGTCGTGACCGAGAGCACGGACACCCACCCGGAGCGCTCCTTCATCGGAATCTACCTGATTGACGGCGTCACCGGCCGGATCATCCACTCCTCAGTGCAGAAGAAGGCCGAGGGGCCGGTGCACATTGTCCATTCGGAGAACTGGGTGGTGGTAAGACTTTGCCCCTCCCAGAGCAGCAGGAAAGAGACACACACCCCCCCCCACGGACCTGAGGAACGTGGCTTTGTGGTTAAGAGGATCCAACCAAAGACCCTAACCCTCCTCCTCTCCACAGTACCTGTACTGGAACGCCAAGGCCCGCCGGAACGAGTTCACGGTGCTGGAGCTGTACGAGGGCACCACGCAGTACAACGCCACGGCCTTCAGCTCGCTGGACCGGCCCCACTCCCCCCAGGTGCTGCAGCAGTCCTACATCTTCCCCTCCGCCATCAGCGCCATGGAAGCCACCCTCACCGAACGGGGCGTCACCAGTCGCCATCTGCTGAGTTAAGGAAGGGGGCCGAGGGAGGGAGGCCGGGCGGTCTGCTTTCCACCCCCACCTCCCCCTGCCCAGGCAGTCTGGCCAAGGAGTGCGCCTGGTTTCAAGGGGGGGAGCAGGGGGGGCGTCCACTGTAGAGCAGATCAAGACCTCTAGAGCAGGGGTCCTCAGTTGGGGGGCCGCGACCCACTATCAGTCCAGGGCCTATTCACAACCGGGCCGCGTGAATGGCTGGCTGGTGTGGACGCATGCACGCGTGGAGACCCACTCTGGTGTAGGTCACAGGTGCTTGTAGCTGCTCGGGGCCCCACTGATGTGAGGGTCACAGGTGCTTGCAGCTGCTCCAGGCCCTACTTGTGAGGGTCACAGGCGTTTGCAGCTGCTTGGGGCCCCACTCGTGAGAGTATTGTGGGCGCTTGCTGGCCCACTCCCCCAAGCGTCACAGGCACTTGTTGCTGCACTCATTGTGAGCATCACAGGTGCTCTCGGCCCCACTCACGCAAGCAATGGGTACTTGTGCGTGTGTGCCTGCCCCTCCCACAAAACTCTCCCTTCCTCCCCCCCCCCCCCTGGCCATCAATCCGGAAAAGGTCGGGGACCCCTGCTCTAGAGCTTGACGTGGGAAGATCAGATGAGGCAGGCGTGCGGTCTCTTGGGATGCCAGATTGGGACTCGGGTGCCGTGTGCGAGGCTGGCCACCTTTTCTGAACAGCCACTCGCGGTCCCTGGGCGAATGCACGCCTCCGCCTTCTCTCCTCCAGGGAAAGGAGCACGGGGCTTTCTCCTGATTGGGGAACCCTTTGTCTGAAGTCGCACAAGGGTCTCCTGCTTGAGCAGGGGGTTGGACTAGAAGACCTCCGAGCTCCCTTCCCACTCTGTTACGTTCCTCAATTTTTTTTAATTTCATGCAGAAGATTAAAATACAAAGTCTAAAAGAAAAAAAAGAGAGGCAAACCTAAACTAGAAAGAACATTTTAAAAAACGTGAATTAAAAAAAAGAAGAAAAAAAAAGAAGGAATTGTCCCCCCTAATTGAGCACTGATGAATCTATTGTAACGATAAGAGCTTCCCCCTCCCTCTTTCAAAGCATCTCCATTTTTCTCTTGGGCACAGTCGGTCTTCCCTCGGGGGCCATTTTGTCTCTCCCCAAGGCTTTGCTGGATCCACGGCGTCCAGAGGTCCCCACAGAGCAAACGAGGTGAGGAATTTTTTTTGGGGGGGGGGCAATTAGGACTTTGCAGATAGGGGAAGCTGATGTGGGGTGCTTTGGGGCGTCTCAAATTTCAGCCAGAACCTTCCAAGTGCTTTTAATGTTGTGGTTCCGGCTAATGAAACATTCCAAAGAACGTCCAGGCATTGATTTTCCTAAAAGTCTTTTATTGTTACAAAATGTCGGCACAGGCACAACAGAGGGATGCTAGGATCTAAGTCAGTGGTTCTCAACCTGTGGGTCGGGACCCCATTTGGGGTCGAACGACCATTTCACGGGGGTCGCCAAACAACGCAGTCCGCCATTTTTTCCCCCCTTTTCCTTAGCTGTGCTCCTCCCTTTTATTCTATTGGCTTTCAAAAGCCAATAGGAATTGTCCAGGCTGTCTCTGCCCTGCTGAGCCTGCCAAAAGTCCTCTTCTGCAAACGGTGCTGCACCAGTTGAGTAGTCCTCGACTTACGACCGGTTGAGTAGTCCTCGACTTACGACCGGTTGGGGGGTCGTGGCATTAAAAAGGTTGAGAACCACTGATCTAAGTTCTCTTCCTCTGAGCAGTTAAATTATCAGCATGTTCCCTCCCTAAATTAGCTGTCATATCTCATATTATCCAATTAGTGTGAAGGTCAAATGTTCCCTTCCTCTTTCTTTCCCGGGCTTTACCCCCAACGCCCCTTCTGCTCTTTATTAACCCCATATTTACCAGACAATTCTGCATATTGTCAAAAGCAAGAATATACAATATTTGCAGCGTTGACATTTAACTTGCCACGTGTTCAGCAGCCGAAGTGGCTCGGATCCAGTGGGGGGAGATGGGCTTGGCTGGCCTGGACTGAGCGCTCCGGCCAGGGTTTTGTAAGGCCGCATAAGAAGAATTAACAAATTGCAAGGAGCAGCAGAGAACTAGCAGGAGGAGGATAAGCTGGGAAGAGAGCATTCCGAGCAAACGCTAAAAGATAGAGGTGGAACGGAGATTATTTTCCTGTTCATTTCAGGGAAGAAAACCTGATCCCTTACTCCCCGGATGTGCAAATCCACGCCGAGCGGTTCATCAACTACAATCAAACCGTCTCCCGGATGAAGGGCATTTACACGGCCCCATCGGGCCTGGAGTCCACTTGTCTGGTGAGTTGCGATGTTTTTGCAGCTTTCAGAGGGGTGGACTTCAACTCCCAGAATTCCCAGCCGGCTGGGGATTTCTGGGAATTGAAGTCCGCTCCTCTTAAAGTGGTCAAAATGCTGTAAACCAGGGGTCCCCAACCCCCAGTCCGTGGCCCAGTATATTGGCGATCATTCAACATGGGTGAAAAAGGCGGAGGGAGGGCTCTCGTGGTACCACTTGAATTTTCCAATTATTTCAGAATAACTAAAGTTGGAAGAGGTCTTCTAGTCCTGCCCAACCTCAGGCAGGAGACTCTTACAAAATCATAGAATAGCAGAGTTGGAAGGCACCTTAGAGGTCTTCTAGTCCAGCCCCCTGCTCAGGCAGGAGACCCTATACCAGGGGTCCCCAACCCCCGGTCCATGAACCAGGACCGGGCTGTGGCATGGCAGCAACCGGTCCACATAAACAAGCAAAGCCCCATCCACGGGTTGCAGGCAGCACACAAAACCAGGCACCCTCCGGTCTGCAGAAAAATCTCTCTCCACGGACCCGGTGGTCCCTGGTGCCCAAAAGGTTGGGGGCCTTTGCTGTAAACTCTTGTCCTGGCCCATGTCTTCTGCTGAGATTTTTGGAAGAAAAGGACATCAATAACTGCAGCCACAATAGCCTTATGGAACCTCCATGTTCAGGGACAGTCTTCCCCCGAGTGGAAACAGCAAGGATAACAAGAATAAGAGGATTTTACCTTGAGACTCTCCTCAAGGGGTGTGTGGTTAGATTAATCCACTTTGGGGAAGAGCCCTGCCACCTAATGCTTGTCTGGCTCCTGATCCAGGCAGTTCTCGACTTAACAAGTTTCTTTTTTTTTCTTTTTTTTACAAATTTTATTTATAATACAATTAAAAACAAACAAACATTGGATTTGACGTGACATCCCAGTGTATACATTCTTATCAGATTATTCCACTTTTTACAATCAATTATTCATCTCTACATATACATCTAAGTTTTATATACAATTCTTGTTCTAAAATAACATATATTTCTATCTTAACATTCGTCTTTAATCACTACTGTCCTCTTCAAATTCCTCCAGCGGTAAAATTTATCCCAGGTTTCATAATAAACTGATCCACATTTATCTTTTAATATCATTGTGAGCCTGTCCATTTCCGCACATGCTAATATTTAACAAGTTTCTTTAGAGACCGTTCAAAGTTACAACAGCACCGAAAAATGAAATTTATGGCCCTTTTTCACACGACCATTACAGCATCCCCAGTGCTCACGTGATTAGAATTGAGAAGCTTGGCAACTGGCATGAACTTATGACAGTTGCAGTGTCCTGGGCTCTGACAAGCACACTCCATGGGGAAGCCAGATTCACTTCACAGCCATGTGACTCACTGAATGACTGCAGTGATTCACTTAACAACCATGTCAGGAAAGGTCATAAAATGGGGCAAAATTCGCTTAACCAATGTCTCGTTTAGCAACAGAAATTTTAGGCTGAGTTGAGGCCGTAAGTCAAGGACTACGTGTATTTGCGTGCAAGACTCCACTGTTTGCAACCCTCTTTTTTCCACCTATAAGTTTTTATCAGCTTATAATATACAATACAATGAAAATAGCGGGAAAGATAAGGAAGGGAAAAGGGAATAGAAAAGTGAGGGAAGGAAGAAGAAAAGGGGGAAAAAGGCATTGACTTTCTTTGGTGCAGTAAAATAGAATATCAACATCAAAACTCATTTTTTTTTAATTTTTTACAAAATAATATAAACTAGCCATTTGAATAACATCAAATCTATCTAATCGGCAAAGCCCAACTTCAGAATTTCACTTTTTTCCACCTCAAGCACAAAATCTAGGAGCAGTTTCCACGTGGCAATAAAAATATTTGCATTCTTTTCTTTAACCAGTACAGTCAGTTTAGCCATCTCTGCCAGCTCCCATCGGGTTTTTTTGCAGCCATTCCTCCCTTGTGGGAATCGACGTGGTCCTCCATTTTTGAGCGTAGAGTCCTCTTGCTGCTGTCAACATAAATAACATCGAGGTTCCATATTTTTTTTCCAGGTCTTTGTCCCTTAGCCCCAAGAGAAAATTCTCTGGTTTTCTTTCTATATTCATTTTAAGAATTCTCTGTATTAACGTATGCATCCTGCTCCAATATTTCCTTGCTTTGTCACACGTCCACCATAAATGGTAAAAAGCCCCCTCTTTACATTTACATTTCTAACATTCATTTGAAATGAAACTGATCAAGGAGAGAAGCAATCTAGAAGTAAGGAGAAATTTCCTGACAGTTAGAATAATTAACCAGTGGAACAGCCTGCCTCCAGAAGTTCTGAATACTCCAACACTGGAAGTTTTTAAGAAGAGACTGGACAGCAATTTGTCCAAAATGGTATAGGGTTTCCTTCCTGAGCAGGGGGTTGGACTAGATGACCTCCAAGGTCCCTTCCAACTTTTATTATTATTATTATTATTGTTGTTGTCGTTGTTAAATGCCTTTATACGTTGTTGATAACTTATCTGGTGCTAAATACCAACGGTACATCACCCTGTAAAATATTTTTCTTTTAAATTACAGTTTGCAACCCTTTTTTACTTATTTTTCTCTCCTTCAGGTGGTGGCTTACGGATTAGACATCTACCAGACCAGAGTTTATCCTTCCAAACAGTTCGACGTCCTCAAAGATGATTACGATTACGTCTTGATTAGCAGCGTGCTTTTCGGGCTGATCTTTGCCACCATGATCACCAAGAGGCTGGCTCAGGTGAAGCTGCTGAACCGCGCGTGGCGGTAGCAGGAGAGATTCACACAGACCCCACCCTGGAGGGTGGACGGCCGAGCCCTCGCGAGGGGATCCTGGAGGATTGCAGCCTCATTTGGAAGGGAAGCACTTGCCCTTTTGCCTCTTGAGGAAAAGAGGTGTGGAATCGCGCTGCCTGTTGCCCCCAAACCCGTCTCCATTCACTACGGAAACGGTTCTGTGAAATAAGCTGCTTTGAATATGTTATCCCCGTCCTTCGACGCCTGCTCTGCGGAACTGCTTTGCTGTTGACTTTCTACAATGACCATTTTGACTCCTGAAGCCGTGATGAAACAGGCCGTCTGCATTTCCTTCTGAAATTTTAGCTGATTCAAAGAATCAGCCAGATTTCTCTATAGACTTTTTCTGCCCTCTTCCCCTCTCGGATTTTCAACGGAAGAAAGTGGTTGGGGGGGGGGGGAGGGAGACAACACTCTTGGAGAAAGTGTGAAAAATCAAGCTTGGAAATGCAGAAGATGAATTTGGAAAAATGGATATAAACTGGGGAGAGTGAGCCTGTTCAATCTTTAGCATCCCTAGCAAGGAATTTAGAGAGAGACAGTCTGTCTTTTCCCTGCACTGAATTTTAAAACTTCCCTTTCTTAATTGGCTCCTTTGTTCTAAGATTTCCTTTGTCTTATAATTCCTAATTTATATTGCATTTTTTGGGATCAGTCCAGATTTGAGTTTTAGGAGTACTTGAAGCTTTTTTTAAAAAAAGCAGGGATTACGTTCTAAATGAAGCATCTTCCTGAATGTGCTTTCTTTTCTCCTGACGGCAAGCAAGTGGCTTGCTAAGAGTCACCCCACTGGTCGGTTTATTTATATTTATTCTGAAGGGGATTTTGGGTCACAGTGGGCAAATCTGGAGTTCGCAGGGTAGAAATTTGCATTTTCTTTCGGAAAAAATGTGTGAACTCCGAGCTTTCCTCCTGTAAGATCAGGCACAGCAGAAATAAAAGAAATAACAGCGAATTTGCTTCTTTTGGCTCCCTGGAGGTGTGTATAACTGGCAGAGTTCCCTGGAAATGCAGGCTTGCAACCCTCGCCCAAGGAGCACCGTTATTTTCATCAACTTTTATTCAATTTAAAAAATTAAAACTTATACAAAATAACAAAAAAGATTTTAGATTGCAAACTCTTTGGGCCAGAGATTTACTTGAATTTTAAGCCATTCGTGTCCAGAAAACATTAATACGTTCCTACGTTGGATAATTTCAAAATACAGCCAAAGGTGATCAGACTTTTTAAAAATCCACTTTTGAAATCTGCCTTTGCGCAGGGGTAGGCAACCTTGGCTCTTTGATGACTGGTGGACTTCAACACCCAGAATTCCTGAGCCAGCATGGCTGAGGGGAAAGGGAGAGGTTTTCAAGCTGAGCTATGATGGCTCAGGAATTCTGGGAGTTGAAGTCCATGAGTCAAAAGAGCCAAGGTTGCCTACTCCTACCCTAGAGAGCGGAGGCGCACGCGCAGATGCGCCCTCAAGAGAAAGTCGCTGAGTCATCTTTCTGCGCAAGCGCCCTTCCGTGCCTGGCAGGTAAAGGAAACTGATACTGCGCCCTCTGCGTTCTTTTGGCTTCCTCTACGCGCGGGGGCGGAAGAATGGCCGGAAATAGCAGTGGGGCGTTCTAGCCGTCCGTCCCGGAAGTCTCTGCCGCGCTTCTGTGAAGAGAGCCTGCGGTCCCCCTTTGAAGTTTCAGAAGACCGCCAATTTTTCTCTGGATGTAACTTGATAATAACGACAGAAACGTTTAGGGCCATTTTTCCCCCTCCCTCAGGGAACAGACCGGTGCCACTTGGAGGCGGGGTTTCATCAGGAAGACGCACCCAGTCGACGTCACTTCCTCTCTGACCCGGAAGCTCTCCCCCGGCCTCTGGTGTCTTCGCCTCAGCAACTCTAACGCTACTGGAAGCAGAACTGAGGAGAGGCGGCGGCAAGATGGCGGCGTCGGGGGGCGGCGGCGGCGGGCCCGGCTCTTCGGAGCGGGAGCCCGGCTGGGAGGTGGCGGTGCGGCCGCTTCTGTCGGCCTCCTACTCGGCCTTCGAGATGCGCGAGCTGCCGCAGCTGCTGGCCTCCGTCATTGAGAGGTGGGAGGGAGGAGGGGGGCGGGGCTACCACCCTCCCCCGCCCGCCGGGTTGGAAGGGGGGCGCAGTGGGGGGAGGGGCTCCAAGGATGGGGGTCCTGAAGGGGGGAGCCCCTCCCTTATTTTGCACTGCCCCAGACTTCCCCCTCGGCTTGGCAGCTCCTAGTGGGCGGGGCAAAACGAGGCCCCTCCCTCCCCTCACAAAACCTCCCTCTGCTGGGTGATGGGAGTTGTAGTCCTCGCCCAGCTGGGAACAGCCTGGTTGAAGGGGAGAGCCTGCCCTCTGGGGATGATGGGAGGGGTGGTTAGTCCACCTGAGAGGGGAAGTCTCTTGTGAAAAGTTCCCAAGGATGTGAGTGATGGGAATTGTAGTCCTTGCCCAGATGCGAGCAGCTGGGCTGAGGGGGTTGAAAGGGAGGATCTGCCCTCTGGGGATGATGGGAGGGGTGGTTAGTCCACCTGAGAGGGGAAGTCTCTTGTGAAAAGTTCCCAAGGATATGAGTGATGGGAATTGTAGTTCTTGCCCAGATGAGAGCAGCCGGGCTGAGGGGGTTGAAAGGGATAACCTGCCCTTTGGGGATGATGGGAGGGGTGGTTGGTCCACCTGGGAAGGGAAGCCTGTTGGGAAAAGTGCCCAAGGATGTGGGTAATGGGAGTTGTAGTCCTTGCCCAGCTGAGAGCAGCCAGGTTGAAGGGGAGAGCCTTCCCTTTGGGGTTGATGGAAAGTGTAGTTGGTCCACTTGGGATGGAAAGCCTCTTAGAAAAAGTGTCTAAAGATGAGGGTGATGGGAGTTGTAGTGGTTACATGGTGGTTGAATGGGCCCTGCTATCCTGGAGTTAGAGGGGATCATCTTAGTTGGGACATAAATGTTTCATGTTGTGAATATCTGTAATGGGCTTGCCATGAAGTTGTCTTTGGTTGTGGGTGGACTTAAAACAGCCACACTGGTCTTTCACATCTCTTTGATATAAGGCAGACATGTCAAACTCGTAACATCACGCAACGTATCGGCGCTTTTTTGCCATTGCCGGCAATGGGGTGGGCGCGGCTCCGGTATGATGAAATTGGCCCGCGGACCGGCAGTTTGACACCCCTGATATAAAGAAACTTGGCCTTCCAGACACATCCAGAGGGGCAATAAAAAGGGGTTTTTAGCCTGTTGGAAAAGTTGGTCAGAGTTAAATCAGTTGGAAGCCTGGCCCTGCAGGATATAATAATAATAGTAGTAGTAGTAGTAGTAGTAGTAGTAGTAGTAGTAGTAGTAAAGTTGGAAGGGACCTGGAGGAAATATAGTCCAACTCCCTGCTCAAGCAGGAAACCCTACACCATTTCAGACAAATGGCTGTCCAGACTCTTCTTAAAGACTTCCAGTGTTGGAGCACCCACAGCTTCTGGGGGCAGATTGTTCCACTGGTTAATTGTTTTAACTGTCAGGAAGTTTCTCCTTAATTCTAGGTTGCTTCTCTCCTTGATTAGTTTCCATCCGTTGCTTCTTGTCCTGCCTTTGGAGAAGAGCTTCACTCCTTCTTTGGGGCAACCCTTGAGATATTGGGAGACTGCTGTCAAGTCCCCCCTCGTCCTTCTCTTCGTTAAACTAGACCTACCCAATTCCAGCAGCTGTTCCTTATATGTTTTAGCCTCCAGCCCCCTAATCATCTTTGTTGCTCTTTTCTGTACTCTTTAGTCTCAACATCATTTTTAGATTGTGGTGACCAACACTGGATGCAGGATTCCAAGTGCAGCCTTACCAAGGCATTGTAAAGTGGTATTAACACTTCTTGTGATCTTGATTCTATCCCTCTGTTAATGCAGCCTAGCACTGTGTTGGCCTTTTTGGCAGCTGCAGCACATTGCTGGCTCATATTTAAGGGATTGTCCACTAGGACTCCAAGATCCCTTTCACAGTTACTATTATTGAGAGCTGTTATTTTTCTTCTTTTTTGGTATTATGCTAGACTGGGCTTTTATTATCTCACTTTTCAAAATTTCCCAAGCTTCTTGAGTAGTTTTCCCCTGGAGGATTCTCATCCATGGAATCCTTCCCAAGCCCTCTCTAAGTTTATTGAAATTAGCTCTCTTAAAGTTTAAGACTCTAGTTTGATTGTGTTCTATTGCTTGTTTTTCCATAATGTTGAATTCCCGTATTGCATGATCACTTCCCCCCCAAGGTTCCTGTGGCTTCAACACCTTCTATCATTTCATCTGTTAGTGAGGATTAGATCCAAAATGGCTAATCCCCTAATTCCCTTCTCTACTTTTTGGGAGACAAAATTGTCTGCTAGGTTTGTCAGGAATCTGTTTGATCTTCCACTTGGTGCAGAGTTTGTCTCCCAGTTGATGTCAGGGTAGTTAAAGTCCCCCATTACTATTGTGATGTGCTTCGTACATACCTTAGTTAGCTGACTAGCAAAAAGTTCATCTATTTCCTCTGTTTGGTTTGGTGGCCTATATACTATACAGCTGTGGCAATGTCATTTCTGCCCCCCTTTTATATTCACCCAAATGCATTCAAGACAGTTTTCATCATTGTTGTGCTCTATTTCTGTAGAGATGTAGTTATTTCTTATATAGAGAGCAACTCCGCCTCCTCTTTTGTTTGGTCTGTTTCTTTTAAATAATTTAAATCCCTCTAGTTGTGTGTTCCATTTGTGGGTTTCATCCCACCATGTTTCTGTAATGGCAACAATATCATATCTGCCCTCATTTATCTGAATTTCTAGTTCACCCTGTTTATTGCTCATACTCTATGCATTGGGGTATAGACATTTGAGTCCTTTATGGCTGACCCGGTGTTTACTTTCTACATAACCTGTGTGGTGCCTGAGTTCCCCTATTTTCTTACCACCTGTTTCGTTAGTGCACTTTATGGGGCACTCATTATTAAAAGCTTGATTTTGCTTGACAGCAAGGTTGATATTCTTGTCCACACACACATCTATGTTACATGCACCGATAGCCCTATAATTTTTAGATTGCCGAAGACAGGGATGTTCTGTATCAATTAACTCACCGTCCCCATTGTCTTACTCCTTTCCTATCCCACCCCAATTTAGAAAAGGCTTGGATAAAAAATTGTCCATTTCTTTTGACTCGTGAAATTGCTTCCACTGTGGCTCACTTCATTGGGGATCTGCTGCGCTTCACTTTGTTGGCCCTGTGTTTTCTTTTGCACTTTTGGTGTGTGTGTGGGGGGGGGGGGAGAGGCTGCAGCTCCCTCTTTCTTTTGTGGCCTGGGAATGTGTTGTTGAGTCTGTTGAACCTAGACGCTCCTAATTTCAGTGGTACTCCATAACCCATCCTTTGGGTACCTGAGACTTTAGGCAGGGTTTGAATACAGCATCTTTCACACACAGAACCTTGTATTCTAGGGGTGAGCTGGAGCTTTTTAGTATGTATTTTGCAGTTTCTGTTTTAAGTAGCAGTTATTTGCCTTCTTTGAACTAACATCACTAGTTGATTTTGGACTGTACCTTGCTTTTATTGGTAGTATATTTTAAGCTAGATGTTTGTGCTGCTGGGGTCAGTAATTTCCCAGAGCAATTGATTGTTATTCAAAGTTGGAGCTATTTAAAAACAAGATAATCTCCCAAAACAATATTTCAAAACACTACTTGGATTCACACCGTTGGCAGTCTGAATGTAAACTTTACACCAAATGCTGTCTTCATCCCTTGTCACATTAGTGTGTTTATTCAAAGTTTCTATTATACAACAGGCTGCTTGGGAATTTCCCTTCTTGCAAAGTTGCACAAACTCTATCTCTCTGCATTTTGGGGGTAGAATGATCAGTTTTGTTTTTCAGTGTGTGCTGAAGGCTATCAGTGGAATAAATCACATGAGCCTAGTCGAGGTTTGGAAAACAAAAAAAGTAGCACATGCAACTGTT